CGGTGACGCCGCGTTTATAAAAAACAATCGTAAGTACGTAAGACTTTTACTTCATATAATACGTAATTTTGTATTTATAAGAGTGGATTTTTAGCAGAGAATTATGACTGATCACGTCCTCAAACTATCGCAAAATTCTTTCACCGCTGAAAGGACTCTAACCTACCCCTTCCGGATTACGCGTCCATACGCACTAGTCAAGCTAAGCGATCGACATCTTGCCCGCATGAAAATTAACATGTCTTGTTTTACTGGTATAATACAGCACATATCAACATCTTTTTTTTATTCACATGACGATGCAGCCGTTAAGGATAAGCGCGCTAGCTTAGTAAAACCCTATTCACTCTTGCCTTAGGAAAGAAAGAAAGAAATATTTATTTGGTACATAAAATAAAAATAACAAGTAAAATTTAGAAATCAATGTACTAAAAGATCACCACTCAGCATGACATCGCAAAAAAAAATTTTGCGATTGTTGATTTTCAGTTGAACCTGGACGCATCTTCATGAATCTTTTAAAGCATTAAAACATTTAAAGCTTTAAAAGGATAAATTGAATAATAAATAATGTCATACAAAATGATTATCATGCGACCTTTTGATTTGACAGTTGCGTTTATCGAATTTTATGTCAGTGTCACAGGATAAAAATGCATCGGTAAGTGCGCGGTGGCGGTAGCAAGCCATCAATGTCAAAGAGCACAAAAAACTACTAGAGTAGCGAACAGATGGGCCACAATGCTTCGTTAGGACGCAAGCAGGCAGCCACTCAATAAAACATACTCGCCTAATAAACGCACCGCATGTGGGATGGCCCGATCTACGGCCACAATGGAGTGCCGCATTGAGTTTGGAGTTGTATTAAAACAAACTAATGCCGTAATAGGGGTTGTTCGAAAGTTGAACCGTTCTGACTATTCGGAGTAATTTCATCTGTTGAATTTGAGAAACGGAGTACAATTTTAAAACGAAACTAAACTAAATCTCGTTTACGCGTTGACCGTTTTGAATTTAGATTATCAACAAGATGACAGTTTTGATACCACGGTAACTGCAAAGAACAATTTTGATTTATTTTAACAAATACTAAAAATAAATTTATATTACATTCTAAGAAAACTAAGGGACACCGTCTACCCTACTTGTTTATAAAGGACTGTAAGCTAATTTGCAAATGGAATTAACCCCAACTAATAAAAGCTTGATGCAACTTTGCACCGAAGTTAACGGCGACTAGCCTTAGACAATACAACTTGAAGCTAACTTAGCCAAGTTGGTGTAACAAACAACCCCGTATCACTTAATTAGTACCTCGGTTTGACATGCCACTAATTAGTAGGAGTTAGTAAACCTAATTAAAGGCACTTCGGAGGGTCTGCCCGAGCTTAGTTATAAAAATCAAGGTTAGCGAAAATACAAAGGTAGTTACTGTACTGCGTGCACAGAGATGCAAATAGGGTGTACTCTAAGAAAAACTTACCAAGTGATTGATTCCAGATGACTCATGATATCCAAAGTGGCATCTGAAAAGGCTGTGAAGTGTTGTTTATTTTTTAATTTCGACTCCAAAAAAATGGTAACTTTACTATAACTTGTGCATTTCAGTGTTTTGAGCCATGTTTGTATGGGACGATAGGGTATAAAGCCGATAAAGTGAAAACTCGGTTAATTTTGGGTTGTCGTACATATAAAATGAAGCAAGTAAACATTTCCCATTGTACAGCCACACCACTGTGGTGGTTTAACTGTTTTAGGACTCCGCAACTGACTCCTCATTTGCACGAATGAGCAGGCCCGACCGGGTAAGTACCACGACCTCACAGAAGACCAGCGTGAAGTGGAAGTGTTGTACTTTTGCGTTTCCTCTGGTAAGTGAGGTGGCCGGGGCCAACTTTATTAAAAGGTAACGTATCTGCAGCCCTACGGGTGTTGCAAATGTCAATGTACGGCGGTTATCACTTAACATCAGGCATTGAACCACTAGCATGCTTGCCTCCTCCTCACATAAAAAAAAATAGAAAACGCCAGTTTGCAATTTTATGAAACAGCTTTATATTTCGAGAATATCTATTCAAATAAACTTTTCTCCTTTTTCCAAGACTTGTCTGTATTTAGCTGAAATATTCTGTATATCTTTAACCTTACATAACATTCAAGTAATTTTAAAATTTTTTCCTATCTGATAATCACAATAATTTCAATAAGACCTCTAAAGGTAACTCCAGGCACTGATTATAACCATCGTATTACGTAATGAAACTTTGATTTTAATAATTTGATGCAAGATATGACTAGATAATACTGAGGTGAAATGTTAATATCCGGGCAAGCGGCTTCTACTCTTCGCCGAGCTTCCGCTAATTAAGTAGGTATCTCAAGACAATACGTTGCTGAGAATTTAAAGCTGTCTGGCCACATTAGTTACAATATTATGATACAAATTATGGCATGATATTTCTTTTGCCCTTCTAAATAAATGCAATAAACGAAGGAAAGCATTAACATTTATTATCTATGCTATAATTTTATTTTCATTATTTTATTACTTAATAATCATGATATTAGAGAAATAGTTTACTCGAATGTTTGAACATTTGTTAAGCCTTAATTTCAACCGAAATTACACAATAATTTAAAAGAAACAAAATAACACAATAAATTTTATTAATAACAGTCAAGGGGTGCTTTATCTAACGTGTTAAAAGCTGTTTTAGATCACTATGTCGATCCTAGCCAAAGGGGGGTTGTATCACATACCCTATTATCTAGGTATTTAATTTTTTTACTTTTTGTAACATACTGAAATTATAAATAAATTTAAAATATCAAAATAACATGGCGAAATTCAACAAGTTAGACCCTGCTTAATAGTTAAACCTCACATAGTGTGGACTCGCTACAAGCATCCATCTCAAAACTAGCGGAAGTTATAATTTATGAACGAAGTTCCGGACCCAGCCTTCACGGCCGCGCCGCCGGGGACCGAATAGTGAGTGAGACGGTAATGAAACTCGTGATGTATAATGCACGCAGACGTCTGGGATCAACTTATTACTCAGTACAAGATTTCTAAAGTACGGAAATTAGTAAGTACCTCGTCTTAATATTACAAAGTTGTACTAACAATGTTTTTTAGAACAAATAAAATTTATGGAGAAGTAAAACTTGGAAGAAAATGTTGTACAATTTTAGTATCGTACTTAAGTAATTATTTTCAGAAATAATCATAAACCTTGTAGCTAACTTACCACTTTTAGTGCCATCTACTGGTGCAATATTAAACCCTTAAAACTTAAAACATTAATTCCTTGCTGCTAAAGTTTTTTACCATCACATGTTAGTTTTGTATATATGTGATAGATGGCGCTTTTATGTATTGAAACAAATTAAAAACTTTATTATTTTTATTTGACAATGCAATGACAATGGATAAGGATTAAACACGGAACGTAGTAATGTCTAGAAAAACAAAATGAAAGAAGATAATTAATGCAAATTTTATTAAAAACAATTATACAATAAAAGATACCAAGCAACACGTTAGAACTATAATAACATTGTATTCGAGTCGTTTTCTTAAAGCGTTTCTTACAAAAGGAACATGATTCCCGGTTGTGTATGGTAAAATGCGCGTATAGGCGCCTGGATATTTACCACAATCACTACCCCACGATACAACACCAACTTGAACGCCATTACATACCAATGCACCTCCAGAATCCCCCTATAAAAATAATAAATCGAATAAGATAAAAATTGAATGAACTACAGAACATTTTTTTACATGATGGATACTATTTTTAATACCCATTAATATTATTAACAATGGGTATATAACCCCGGTAATATTATTACATTATGACACATTTCGAATGACGCACTCTATGTATTGACTTGAGAACTTAACTTATTTAATTAATATTATTTATAATTATTATTTTATTTATTTAACTTGTTTATTTAATTTATTATCTTAACTTATTTGGAATAAATAGGAACTTTACACCAGAGCCCAATAAGTTTTTTGAATACTGAAAAATCAACTTGTATTAACTGATGTTTTTACTTTCAGTCCCGAGACTATTAAAGCTTCATCTGACGCTGACCCGGTGGGCTTGCCAGAACCCACGGAAAATTCATAATTTCCGAACTATGTACTAACTAAGGAACGTGAATTAAATAATATTTGTTTTGTTTCATTTCATTTTTTTCACATGTAACTAGTGCAAGTTTATTTTTTTATTAAAATATAAAATGCTTTAAAGAATTAATTTTTTGATGATTGAAAAAATCGAGAGATTACGAGATTAATGGACGTTAGATACAATGATGGATTATTTTTCATTGATTTGTTTTAAATTAACGACGTTACAGTTATAGGTATATCAAAATATGTAACACAGTAGATGTTTATAAATAAAAAAATGATGGTTAAACAGTGTCTTTTCAATTTTATTATATATACCGACACATGTACACAATTAAAAAGAGAGATTATGTAGAGATTCCTCAAAGCTGATAATGGAATAGGAAGATATTTTTAAGATTCTATTTTAACTTATAATGTGGATAAAAACGTAGTTGTAGATCGAATAAAATCTAGTCTTGCAATTTGCAAAAATTTTACACACCTTTTCGTTCCCAACGAACCAATCCCTTGATCCAACTTCCTTAAAATCGAACCAATACTATACAACGAATTCTTCTTTGGCATGGCTATACGATGTATTTGTTATTAAAATATAAATTACATAAATATTTCAATAACACAGCACCACATTAGTAATATTTATTACATTCACTTGCGATAAAAAGTAATCCTAATTATAGTAATAAGTAAAGACCATAATTAATTAAGTAAATAATATTCTTCGAAGTAAACATGAGTCATCGGTGCGTCTAATCTTTTTAATGACACTGCTCTCTTGAGCTTTATCAACCGATATATAAGAGTATTTCACACGAAACTTTTGCGAGTCGGCTTTAGAACGCTCAAGATGTACGTCGCGTTTGCTCTTGCAGCTTTATTCTCCGCAGCGACTTGTGTATCCGAGGACAGGTTCACGGGTCAGTGGCTGCCAATGGTTACATTCCCTAACGTGGTAACGAACCAGATAATATGCGACAAATACAACGTGAGCGTCGTCAAAACGGACCCGTGCCAATGCGGGAATTTATCCGCGACCATATTTGAGTTCGAAAAGGGCGTAACCGACACTCCGGCGCGGTCTGTGACGATGCCAGTGATTGTGGTCGAGAGCATCCAAGAGGTCGAACCAGCGCTGGTCGTGAGGTGCGAATGCGGTGGAGAGTACGTACGCCACGCGTTGTTCCGCACTGTGGACAACTACTACGTAATGTACGAGAAGCACCCGCAAAATGTGTACGGGCCGGAGGAACCTAATACTGCGAACCTGCTCGTTAAGAAAGCGCCAACGTCCTCGGAGCTGAGAGAGGTGTTGGCGAGCATCCCCGATCTGAAGCACAGGAGCACGGGAATAATGTGTGATCCCGATAAAAATGTTGGCCTTTGACCGTTCCTATCCTCGTTTTGATTAACACGATTGTGTTAGCTTTATTTGTATCTATCTATGAATGTAAAAAAAACTTTTTAACGCGTTTTTAATAGCTTTACTTGTATCCGTCTATCCGTTAATGTAAGAAAATATTTCAACGTTAATTTCTAGCTCTCCGATATGCTCGAAAATTTTCGCACGTGTTCAGCTCAGATTTCAGTCCATCAATTTCATATTTTCAACTTTATTTTCTTACCAGGGCCACCAGGATTAAAGGAAACATTTTTTATATGTATGATTTGATTTGTGGCAACTATACTAATATATGTAAAGTCTGCCAATCCGCAGTGGAGTTGCATGGTGGACTATGTCCTATTACCATCTGCACAAAGGAGGCCTTAGCACAACAGTGAGGCTTTTATAGGCTGTTACTTTGCTTCACTTTACTTTTATCAGATAATTTACATCGGCAAGTTTTACCAAGATTTTGACTAATAGACCTAGACTCATTCATTTTTTTAATTCAAACTCAAATTCAAGTATTTTGTTAAATAGCATCACACTTACTTAATGATTGACAAAACACTACCACGGTTACGAAAACAAAACCACTGACCTGAGAAGAACATGCGAAAGAAACTCAGCGGGATAAACAAACGTCCGTTAGACTTAATCGCGCTTTATTTTTAATTTTATATCGATTTCTTTGTTGAATATAAAGTAAAATTACGTTCTTTATATTATCCCACAGTTGTACAATGTAGCGTGGAATGATAGAATTCAGATACTATCGAAACATTTTTAATAATTTAGGAGATATGCATCGCTCACGATGTGTAGCTTTACAGATGAGCACATAATACGTCAACACTTAATATAGAAACAATATTTTTTTGTACAATCTCTGGGTTGCTTTACTTTACTGAATTAAAAGAGTCCATCCGGACACTGAGCCACCAAGACTCTTTCAGCTTGCAGAACATTTTAACGATAACATTTAGATTTATTTGACTTTAAGTACCTCACCTGACAACTGTCCTTTCCTTTAAAGCCAACACACCAGTAAATGGAATCGTGGAACACCATCCCGTAAACATACTCGCACTTGAAACTCGGTAAAATCGGAAGGCAAACCATTCTCAGCTCTTTTGACGGAACATTCTGGAAAATTATCGTTTACATTTCACAAAATCCAGGCTAGCATCAAAATATACGGGCATGTTTAGACGGGAAAGTGCTTGAGGGATGTCATGAGAAAAGGAAAACATTTGAATGTTCACACCGAGAGTGTCAATGCAAAACCCTTCTACCAGGTTTTGTTTGTACATAAGCCATATCGTTTTTAGGATTCCGTACCCAAGTGTAAAACGGGACCCTATTACTAAGACTGTCTGTCTGTCCGTGTCACCAAGCTGTATCTCAAAAACGTGATAGTTAGACAGTTGAAATTTTCACAGATGACGTATTTCTGTTGCCGCTATAACAAAAGTTGTAAAAAACAGAATAAAAAAATATTTAAGTGTGGCTAACAAATTTTGTCTGTTGTATTCCCATACCATTTTTTGGCGTTTTTATAGTTAATGGTACGGAACCCTTCGTGCGATTCCGGCTCGCGTTTGGCCTGTTTTATTAAACAACGGTTTTAACTCACATTTTCTTTCACTCCGTATCCGGCCACGATGCACCTCCGGCCGTCCCCAATGTCCAAATTCAGGTCGGCGGTATGCAAGCGCACTGGTTTTATCGAAGCTGACTGAACGAAAGCCTTATCCAACTGTATCGGAAGATACGATTAGACGGAGAAAACACTCGCTGGCGACGTTGCTAAGCTATTGGCTTCGGCGTCGAGGGTTGTAGGTTCGATTCCCACACGGGACAAGTATTTCTGTGACCCACAGATAATTGTTCCGGATCTGGGTTTTTGTTTGATTCCCAAGGAGGGTTGGCGTTAAGCAGGCGACCGGTAAATAGCCAAAACTCCTTACAATTTCATTCCCAAGTTATGCTGACCCTACCAAGGTAGGATAAGTACCTACAGGATGATTTTGATGATAACATGGAGAAAACAATGCAAATTGAACTTTTGGTAAAAATATTATCACTTAACATTAAAAAAAGAAAATGTAAACATGTATGTAAATGTTAGGACACTAAATAACAAATTAATTATTAGATGTCTTTTTATTTATTTGAGAACACACGAGCTAGCGGTTCACCTGATGTTAAATAATAACCACCACCCATTTATATTTGCAACACCCGTAGTGCGTTGCAGATGCATTGCCACCTTTTAATAAAGTGGGCCCGACAAGCTCACTCATCAGACGAAACGCAGAAGTATGACACTTCCATTTCACGCGGATCATCTCACACCTGTGAGGTCGTGATGCTTACCCAGATGGGATTGCCCATTTGTGCAACAGCCAAGACTGTTGCGAGGCCCTACCATAGTTAAATTATCTCATAAAATTACCAAATACCTGAAGTAAGGCTAAGTCGTCATCTACGTAACTGGGATTATAGTACTTGTATACGTAACGGTGTTTTACTGGACGCCAGTTTTCAAAATACATTGTGATCACCATTGCCCCCGATTTAGTTGATCCAGCGACAACTCTGATCTTGTTTACAGGCGATTTCGATCTGAAAATTTTACCAAGATTGAATGAAATCTTTATAGAGATTTTAGGTAGCCCGCAGATTCATGGGCATTTGTCCAGACTTGTCTTATTCGATTTTACAAAGTCATTTGGTCTGACAACTATGATTCGGTAGTGAAGTTGTTAAGCTATTGGCTTCGGTGCCAGGGTTCATGAGTTCGATTGACATAAAACAAGTATTTGCGTTACCCAGAGACGGATGTGTGTTCCGGATGAGTGTTGGTTTCCGAGGAGAGTTGAGGTCAGGCCGAAGACACACACACAATTTCATTAAAATCGGTCCAGCCGTTTAGGAGGAGTTCAGTGACATACCGTGTGTATGCAATATACAGAAGAATTATATATATAAAAAAATTAATACATGATTTACATATTGTGGCAACCGCATCTAGGTGAGGTCAGGAGAAAAGAGGAGATTGGAGCTGACAACGAAAGCATCAGATATAAGATATAGCTCAAAATACAAAATCAAACTGCTTTAACGCAAATTGTAACCTATAGCCTAAATATAAAACGATGGATGAGTAGTTTCTAGAGTGGCCGATCCGCACAGCAGCTTTTGCTGATGCTCGAATGGGTAGGCCCATCCAGGAAAGTACCACTGCCTCAAGATTACCAACATGGAGTGAAAGTATTATGCTTATGTTGGGTGAGGTATCCGGTGCGTCTCTTTAAATGTTGGCAAAGCATAAGCGCCACTCATGTTTGGTAGATGTTCAAGGGCGGCGGTAAACGTCGGATTGCTAACCCACATTTAAAAACCTTTTTTCGCATCTTAAAACTATCTCCAGAAGTTCGAATTTTATAAAAGTTAAAACCCAACGCTTATAATGTAATACCAAATTATATGAATGAAACGAGAAGGAAGAAAACAATTGTTCATAAGTGAATGCTTACTTGCTATCGATTAAACAATGCGCGGCTGTAAGAACAAATTGCATTGTGACAAGTGATCCACCGCAAAACGAAGCCCAGTATGTGCCAATATAATGAGGTTTCCTTAGAGCAACCTAAAAAGATACAATTAAAACATAATCAGACTTACAATAATTATTAGTTAACAAGTCATTAAAAAAAACTCTTAGCTATTTTAAGGACTCCATCCTGATATAGTTAGTTGATAAAATAAACCCTCATTTAGATATTGTAACGGAATATGTTATAGTTTTCCGGAAACTTAAAGCTGTTACGTCTTTCTAAATTAGATAATTTATTAAATAGTGCCATATAATTTACTTATATTTTTAAAACACTATAATCATATTATTTTTTTAAGTTTGTTTATAACTTGAACCCATCCCAATGTATGTTTTATTTAATAAAGGAATTAGATTAATTTGATACAAACATAAACTCCTCGAATAAAAATACGTTACAAAACACCGGGTGGTGGTAATACCTAATTTTAAAATACAATGAGATATCGTTACCAGGTTATCACAATCCGGTTGTTGCTAATTAGATTCTAATGCGTAATACACCGCAATGCAATCTAAAATGAGGTCCGTCAATCAATTGATTTCTAATTCATTACGAAAATCGCTAAGAGGCACAAAAGCCAAAAGCCAAAAAATTATTCCCAGACTCGAGTGGGTTATTTCGAATATGTAATTTTAAATTTTTTCTTCAGAATAATGCAAAATAATTTCAATACCTGATATGGCACTAAGGTATTTGTTGTCGTTTTACCTCCTACAATTTTTAACGAACAGTAATCATCGAAGGCTTCGTATTCTTTATTCCGTTTTAACACATCCTAAAAAAAGTCGTAAATCAATTCCGACGAATTAGAACTATGTTAAAATTTAATACAATTTATTTATTCGACATTTACAACATTAAATCTATGTTAAGCTTTTGTGTAAGCGATCCCATGTCTATAGCATCAACTTATTTTATTTTATGCAAACGGCTATTATTAGAATCTACATGAAATAAAAAAATGTTATATATTGACTAAAGAATAAAACCTTGACATATCCTGAGATATTTGAAATAATATATTAAATTAAACATTTATCACAGTTATTAGGACATTTATTTTAAACTTTTATTTTCACTACATTTGTTAATTAAAACATTTCATTTAACCTTATATGAATATGCCATCTACATTTTTATGAATGGAAAACTAAATTCAAAAGTTCCACCGTCGTATTGTTAGTGTCCCCAAGTAAAAAGGGTATGAATATTCTTCTTCTTCTTCTTTTCTTTTTGGCGGTTTTCAATGAATACGCCAATGAACACTTCTGGTTGTTTGTTTTTGCCTAACTTTTATAATGAAATGATGAAGAGGATGATATTATGAAGGTATAAATATTAAGATCAAAACTAACAATGAAGTTGATGGTGTCATTGACAGAAGTAATTTCTTGTAAGGGCACAGTCTCAAGCAAACATTGATTATAAAGGGAGAAAAAAATAAGTAAGCGCATAGCTCCATTGTAATTTACTTTAGTCATTTAGACATATTACTTAATATTTGACATCACACAGCTCGTATAAATGTATTTACATATTTAAATAAGCCACTGTATTAACTGACACATAAAATTTTCAGACCTTGTACGAAAAAGGAGACAGCACAGAAATTTTTGAGCCGTGCTCTCATAACCTCCTTGGTCAATTGTTGTTGTCGGTAGACGTCTCGATAGTAAAAAACTCGTTATTATAAAAAGATTTAGAAATTTAAGTACTACTGCATGTTTCAACACATGCCCATTGCACATTAGCAGACTACAATATATCTTCATTATTTTCTTAGCTGTACAGGTTTTCTGGCGAAGCTTTTACTTCACGGCCAAGCAATTAAAACTATTGCAACAATAATTTAGTGATTGTAATGGGGTTTGTCTTATTTTAATATTATTCAATTTACATTACAAACACAGTGACCTCAGAATAGTATTATTTCCTTTATTATTTACAGATTGTAACGTTGTATGGCTTTTAATGAGGATCTTCTCCTGCCCTTATCCCACCTGGACTGGGTCGGCATAAAATATGAATAATATTTTTAGTGATAGGCCTGATGTCGCATGTAGGCATTTACAGGCCTGATGTCAACCTTCCTTGGAAACAAACACCTAGATGCGGAACAATTATCTGTAGGTCACATAAATACTTATCGCGTATGAGAATCGAACCTACGAGCCCCGCACCAGAGCCACATAGCTTAGCAGCTACCCCACCGAGTCGAAGTCGAATCGCCAAAGGAGTGTTGAAACATATGGATACGAAAGCGTTCATGACTTCAAAATTTCTCTAATAATTCACTAGATGTACCTTTTTTTTCTAACTATTGCCGATGACTATAATCAGTTCAACTTTAATCCGCTTCGTAAATCTATAAAGAGGGTTTACTTCCTCGTTTTGTACCGTGTAATCCGTTGATCGTTTTGTTTACGCCGCCTATATACATATGTGCAACAAATGGATTATATTGGAAATAATCCATTCACGAATGGATTAAACGGAAGCAAATCCACTAACGACAAGGCTTCACCACTGGATTTATGCGAATTATTGAACAATGTCTAGACAATACAGAGCTAAGTACAAACTTCGTTGCATCACTGTTGAAATAGTTGCCCTTTTATCTTTGATCGGGCGAGTTTAAAACAGATTTTATAATCCAAAAAAAAAGATATGGTTAACGATAAATCAAAGTGGAACTTAAATCCATTAACATAATTATTTATTTTATTTAGTTACGAATATTTGTCCGTCCCGTGAACATCATTGCTGTACGGTGTTCGAAACGTTGAGAATTTGAAAGCAAACTACTTTATCTTAAATTAAACCTATTATTTAAAAAAAAATGGAGTTGGCAAACAAGCAATCTGTTAATTCGATGTAAATGATTCCATATTAACGAGAGGGGTTGCAATGCATTACTGGCTGAAAGGGAAGTGCCTCCGGTTTCCTATTTCACACGCCGGACGAAATGCGAACGTATAATTGTTTTTCTCATTCCGGTCTTCGCCAAGGTCGTAGTATTTAACTGACGGAGCCAACACACTCATGCAAAAACAGTCACTGAATTCTACTATGGCTTACGAATCTTTTATTATAAACCATCAAAGGCTGATAGTATACTGTGATAAAAATGGACTTTTCCATTTTTTTAACGAAAACCAAAACCGACTTCAAATATATCGTTCCGTATCCATTTTGTAATTGAATTTAAGGAGTTCCCTAAGTATCTGCGGAACCCAACATCTAATACCAATGAAATCACATTAAATTAGGGACCACATTGGAAGCACCCGCTTGCAAATAAAAAAGAATCATCAAAATCGGTTAAAATGATAAAACATTTAAAAAAAATTTTTGAATTGTGAACATGTTCTTTTTTGAAATCGGTTGAAAACTATAACCTAAGATTTTAAAAAGTCTGAAATAATACATTTTATATATGTACCGTGTAGATATCATAACTGGTGGTTAACAAGTTCATAAACGTATTTAAATAAAACATCTTCGTCCAAGAAGGACTGACAGCGTCAAATGTACTTACGTGTTATACACATTATGAAAATTTGACAATACCTATATTCGATCAGTGTTAATGTTTTCATGTTTGCAAATCGCATTTTGTTTAGATTTATTGTTACAATTAGTTTATTCGGAAAATGCTCACCAGACAATCCCAATGGGTCTAAAATTGTTGAGGATTATGTTTTTCGTGTTGTGAATGGCTTTCCGGCAGCACTAGGTGATGTTCCGTATCAGGTATGAAATACAAGAATATCTATAAATATAAATATTAATAAAAATAAATATTTCGGACACATTTTTTACACAACATTCTCTAGTACAAACTAAGCAATGCTTGTACTATGGGTACTAGAAAACTGATAAACATACTTTTCTTTTGTAAATAAATACATATTATGCATATAAAATAACCCAGACACTGGAAAAACACTATGTTCATCGCACAATATTTTTCCAGTAGTGGGGATCGAACCCACACCCTCTGGCGCGAGAGACAGGGTCACTACTCCCCACGCCAAACGGGTCGTCATCTCTCGTCATAATCGTCATTATCATCATTACAGCCTGTTTTAGTCCACTGTTGAATATGTATTCAACAGTGGACCTCTCCTACAGACTGCCAAGAGGTACGATCCTGCCATCCATCTGTTTTCCTTATTTATTCCGCATTATAACACTACCCTCCAATTACTTGTAGATATTATTATACTACATATTTTGTTCATTACATTTTAAAACACTGAAACGATGTTTTGGTTATGGCCAGTATATCTAATTTTCTATGTCATCTGTTAAATGTGTTTTGAATTTAAAGAAGCAGAGTTTAAGGAAGCAGAGTTTAAGGATTTTCACTTTACAATCCTTTGGCTGTTTTCATATTCAAATATCTAGTCAACCGTCTTTACCGTTTGTATGCTTTTTGGGTATAGGTCGCTTTCAAGGGTCTGGCATCGCGCTTGACGCCCACCTACAGAACATTCTGCGGCGGCACGATACTCGCACCCACTAAAATACTCACAGCCGCGCACTGCTTTGTCGAGGACAGAAGCGCATGCATAAAGCTCTTCATGAAAGTCGGGTAAGAAATCTCGCTTGAATGTTGCAATGCTATTCCCACGGCACGTTTTATATTTTGCGTGTGTGCGCGTTTGGATTTTTCGACTTCATACTCTGGCATAATTCAGCCAAGCAGAAAAACTGGCCAAGTGCGACTCGGACTCACGCACGGAGGGTTCCGTACATCTGTTTTTAATATTTTTTCTTATAGCGGCAATAGAAATAAATCATCTGTGAAAATTTCTTCTAACTATCACGGTTAATGAGATACAGCCTGGTTACAGACTGACAGACAGACGGACAGGCAGACAGTGGAGTTTTAGCAATATTTCGTACCCTAAGGGTAAAACGGGACCCCAAAAACATACGTTCCGGGAAAGATGTTTATAGCTAAATGAAACGAATTTGATATTGTGGAAATGTACGTTTTTTTTTAACTTTAATTAAACACGCGAGTTAAAACGAAAAAATCCAAAGCAAATAGTAAAGCATTGTGGTCTGTCTGAACGAGCTTTTAATTTGACTGTGAGTCGGCTCATCCGGGAAAGGTCAATGGCCTCTGAGACAACTGACATGGATGGGTTTCATCCAGTTAGTGACGTCCCCGGAGAGAAATGACTGAAGTATGTCTATGAATATAATTGTATGAATGTTTTTGTAAAAGTCATGGGAGTAGCCGGGGTTATTTGTCATCTGCAGACTTGAAAAATAACGCAGTGTCTCAAACACTTTTAAAATGGTGTCAAGTTGGCAAATTTTCAAAAGGGTGTCATCGCAACTGTAACCCTCGGGTGTGGCAGATGTCCATTGACGGCGGTATTCATTTAACATCGGGTGAAACGTCTGCTCGTTTGACAACTTTTCGCATAAAAAAAAACTTACAGGTGAACTGCACCTGACGTTAAGTGATCGCCGCCGCCCAAACACACAACACTTGAGTAGTTGCAAATACCTTACCGACCTCTAAAAAAGATGGCCCCAGTTACCTCGCTCAACAGAGGCAACGCGAAAGTATAATACTGGATGTATGCACACAGGTCTTCTGTGAGGTCGTGATGCTTTTGATACTTCTCTGCACGAGTCCGCCAATGGCGCAACAAACTGCTGTTACAGTGTGGTAGTGCCACGCTTAATTTTCTTTCCCTCAGTCATGTAGGTCAAAAGGAGTTAAGGCAAAAGTTCGCAGTCGCCGGCACTTTATTCAACAAAGGCGTCAGACCGAAAACCGACGACACCCCGGAGGGACAATGGCGTTCTTTAAAGGATGTGCTGTATCCAAAAAGATACAAATTTCCTATAAAAGACATCGCCATAGTAGTGAGTAATTATTAATAAAATGTTTTCTCGTTTTGTATTGAGTTTTTACCTTACTTACAGACAATAATAAACAATAAATATTGACGATGTAGACTAGAAAGGATTTTTTAAAACTTAAATTTTTATTGCGCTAATCTCTGCACAAGGTCAACAATCGATGTAGATAAAAGTAGTTGAGATTAACGTCGGTGTGGCAATCAGCCGTTTAGCTTAATGGCTAAAGCGTCAGGCCGCAAAACCCGAAGACGTGGATTCGATTCCCACAGCAGCGGCGAGAAACTTTTCGTACTTCTTTCTGCAAATTTTAATGTTTTATTTTGTGCAAGATTTTTTTAAGATAAAGAAAAGTAATATAAAGTAACAGCCTATAAATGCCCCACTGTTGGGTAAAGGCCTCCCCTGAACAAAGGGTATCAAGACATAGTCCACGCGACCCCACTGCGGATTGGCTGACTTCATATCTTCGAAATATTTTTCTTTGACATTATTTCTAAAATACGCAGATTTCCTCACAGTGTTTCCCGACTGAGCACGTGATAAGTCACCACTTAAAATAACGAATTTATAGGTACTGGCACCGGGGATCGAACTCAAGTTGCTCGAGTAAATTGAATTAAGATAATAAAATTAAGATATTATTTATATATATATACTATAATTTCATATTAAAGGTATAAGAACCAAATGTTACTGCGGTACGGACAACTTTTTTTAAACAGAACTAAAATCGAAGCAATCTATTGGGTAATTAGAGCGAAACGCTTGTTATACGTAATCGAATGTTTGTACTGTGATTTCCCGTACTCCTTTTTTAGGGAAATTGGTTTTGAATATACGACTAGGAAAATTCGACGCAAATATTTAATAGATTAAAATAAAAAACATTGGCAATAGCTCATGCAAAACAGTGTAATGAATCATTGATCCCAGTGTGTCGGACTTATGATGAATACGTGCCGCAGTGGCTCAGTTATTATTTTCAGCACTGGGGTTCGATTCCCACAAAGGACAAGTATTGTGTGTGACTCAGAGATATTTATTACAGGTCTGGGTGTTCGTTTCTAAGAAAGGTTGACGTCAGAGAGGCAGCCGGTCATGTTAGCCGTTGAACATGATTCCCATGTGCTGTCGAATTCACCTAGGCAGGGGGATACCCCTGCCTAGGTGAATTCGATCATGCTACGTATAAATACTTTTACACCTATATTTAGGTGAACAACATTTTAATCATACTAGTTGCGAATTTGCTGATTATTTAAAAAAGCAACGCATTTGCTTTCGCTTTTCGTACAATATAAAACAATAACAAATTTATTTTAATCGATACAGTAAGTACGAAAAAGGAGCGTGCCGCCGTTGTAAAAATCATGGATTTTATCGCTGTTTATTTTAATTTTGGCCCAGTGTTTTTTTTTTCGTGATAATCTTTAATTGTTCACTATCGCGTGCGTCCTTAAACCAATAATGCAGTACAACATTCGAATGAATGAAATGAACGATGACAAAATCTTTAAAACTAGTACGATTCAAATGTGCATGCGTATTTAAGTAGCTTTAAAAAAAACACTTATCCCCTTCATCGTCAGTTCACGACGGCACCGTTCAACTTCAACAATCACGTGAACTCCATACCATATGCGACCCGATACGCCGATTACACGGGGAAGTGTCTGGTTTCTGGCTACGGTCGTATCACTAGTTTAGGGAAGGTTAGTCTATCATTTCTCCATAGTTCAAATGGATTATATATTTATATAAAAGTGAAAGTAAACTAACAGCCTATATATGTCCAACCGCTGGGCAAAATAGGACTCCGCGGTACGGAGGGTATTGCGGCGTAATCCACTGCGCCAATATAGAGTATGTTACATTTTTTTTATTTATTTTTATTTTTAAACTTCATGCACGAAACAGTACATAGGCGGACTTAATGCTGACAGCATTTTCTACCAGTCAACCTTAGGGTGGTACTGAGAAGTTGAGGTAGGTGCACAAACACAGTTATAAACTAAAAAAAAAAAAAAATACATAGGTAATTATTAAATATAAAAATATAACACATAATATAATTCAGCATACAATACTTTTAAACGATACAATAAGTATTACCTTACATATACATATAAACTTTAATATACATATATAAATAATATAAATTAGGTTGGGGAAAGTCTTTTCGCAAATAGTATGTATGTACTTATAATGTAATCTCTTTGGCTATACCATTTGTATCTGGCTGGTTTTGGTATCATTAAAAAATTTAAATTTTAAAAAAGATAATTCCAAATTCAAATTAGGAAAATGTGTGATTTTCTTTTGTTTTTCTTACTGTTAAGATGAGTGATTCTAATGAAGAAATTCGATACATTTAAAAATTTTACTACTAATCTTACTCAACTTTTTCAAAAACGGCATCCATTTTATCCGTAACAGGGCGCCCAAAGCGAGGTGCATCTTTGACATAAAAATTTCCGGATTGAAAACTCTTAAATCAAATTTTCGCTACTCTCACAGACACTGCACTAGATCCATAAACATCACATTTTTACCTTTTAATAGTAAAATTTTGAAATGCATCGAATTTCTTCATTAGAATCACTCATCTTAACAGTAAGAAAAACAAATGAAAATCACACATTTTCCTAATTTGAATTTGGAATTATCTTTCTTAAAATTTTTACTTATAGATGTGAAACATCTATAGGCGCACGTAAAACCGCATTTCTGGCGTGGCGACGCATGCCGTGGCGACGCGTCGCCACGCTATATGATGGTATATATATATACAGTCTATATGCAGTAGTGTGTACGATTAATTCATCAAATTTAAATTAATTGTTAATAATTATTTATTAATTATTAACAATTAATTTAAATATAATTAATTATAATAAATTATTTAATAAATAATTAAATTAACTTTAATTAATTGTGTGTACTATTACCGAAGTGACCGATTAAACGAATTAAGTAGTCACGATTTGAAATAAATTCGTAAATTTTTGTATTTAATGAAAATAAATGTTTATTCAATAAATAGTCATCGTTATCTGGAAAAAAAATCGTAATATTTTATTTTATCATTATGACATATTTAGTTCCTATTACAATCTGTTCTTTTCTGCATATTATTTTTACAAAATAATGTCGATGTTTCACATCTGCCAGGCGTCCCGTGACGGCTCATTTTTTAATAATACCAAAACCATCGAGATACAAATGGTATAGCCAAAGAGATTACATTATAAGTTTATACATACTATTTGCGAAAAGAGTTTTTCCCCAACCTAATATTTTGAATCCATTCACTTTTCTTTAAAGAGTAAAGTTAATAATAAATCTTAGGATTGAGCATACTTGGGCTGGCGACGCGTATCGTAAGGTTAATGTTATTAGAGCTTTTTTAAATTTTTGAAACAAATAAACGTTAGTTTAAAGCAATAGATTGTTGGCACTGTATTGAGGGTTAAACATTATTCTTAATATAAATTGCAAATTAAAAAGCAAGAATAGTAATAATAAAAATAAACAGTTTTATCTTTTCGTACAGGCTACATCGGACAAGTTGCTGTTGGCACATCTCGTAATTGTTCCTCGATATAACTGTAATAAACAGCACAGACGAAATATGAAGAATTTTGTGTGCACGTCCAGTGCAGTTACAGACGTAGGAAAGGTAAATATCAATATGTAAAACTAAAAGTTTACGTTCTTTTCCTTCTAATTTTAGTAATTATAAGCCATAGCCAACGCCACTATAACCACTCCTTATTTTTTCATTTACTCCGTTTTACTTACGTTACCGTTACGCCACCATTCTTGTTCTATGCTCACAACTTTCTTTGTTCAGTCTATTCTTTTGTGGAATGCATAATTTGCTCAAAATACTTTAACTTCTCTGGACCATCCTTTTTACTATCATTTTTACATGATGCTCTAGAGTGAATATAGTTTTCTCTTAGAGTGCATATCAGATATAGATTTACGGGAATGCTTTCGCAATCATCCGCGTTCGATAAGCCCCTACTCGGAGAAAAATCCTTCCTTCCTCTAGGTAAGGTGTGCTGAAACATAAAACGCGCCTACCTCATCAGGTCCTTTTACATGGGCAACGGACATTCTCAAGTCCATTGCTAAGAGGTCATAAGAGCCAGGAGAGCCATTGCTAACCAGCAGAAAGCCTCGCAGCCTCCAGCACTGGACCTAATCTGTGACTCTACCACACACCGCGCGAAACGTGGTGTGTGTGGTCACAGTTGTGGTGGATAGGGAAACCAATACGATAGCGAAAACGGCGCACCGCAATATCCACACTTCTATTCTCCCCGCGGTTTCACCACTGCTGCAACAACGGTAGAGCCCCGCCGAATTGCAGAAGTAATGGGGAGTGGCTAAACTCGATACCAACAATCCTTACATGCATCCGGAGTGGACCTCATGAGCCGATGAGTTTCAACTTCATCTCAGGTATCTCTCACGTATTTCAGGGCGATTCCGGGGGTCCCCTCGTTTGCACGAAAACCGGCGAACCGAACGAAACAAGCAAGGGCACACTGGTAGGCGTCGTCAGCGGGCACCGACCCTACGTTGGATCCTTCTTCACGAGGGTCTCGTCCTATTACAAATACATCAAGAGGAATGGATCGCACCGTAACAACATAAACAATGCACTCGTTATTTTATTGGCAATGTTAATACACAGCCAGATTTTATCATTTTGACTTGGTTTTATTTCTTGACACGATTGTTTGTCGATGACTTATTTGCGATCAAATAAAGAATGTTAATAACAGTGTGCGAATAGTCTCGAATCGGTCTACATTGAATACCAAAAAACATAGAGATTTTACATATTTTCTCCATACAGAGAAATGTAAAGAAGTCAGAGATAACTGCTGTTTAAAGATCTTAATGTAAATTTGTTAGATGTCTTATATTTAATATTTTGGCGAATCCCAAAAGTGAAACAAACGTATTTCCGGCTTTGTTCAAATCAACAAACAGTAAATCCCGGTTTACATGAATCTATAACTTTAAAGATTCTTATTTCGTAAGTTGCTGTGACCTGTATGAGTTACGATGGGTTCGGCGTATCTTTATAGATAATAAATAAAAAAATTTAGAGATGGTACTATCGTTTTTTCCTTAAAATATATATGTCAATCCGTACGATTTTTAGGGTTTTAAAATACATTTTTTTAATCTGAAGAATGCAGACAACACACAAATGCTGCGCACACAGGACACCTTGATTCGTAGCCAACTCGCCATAAATCAAAAAGTGATCTCGACAGTAAGCAAGTTAACATTACTCGGCAAAGCAGTTGATTTTCCCAGCGAGTAAAGTTTGAAGCTATTGAAAACTACGGTGCTTATAACTTGCACATTATTGACATATAACTTGTACTCTATTGTTCATTTACACATTTGTTGAGTATCCACTTTAAACGATTCACTGTTTGTCAAACGAAGCCGCCAACACGTTTATTAGTTCATGACGAAACTATATCAAGCGAAACGTTACAAGGTGACTGCAAAATAGAAAGATTGAAACGTGTATAATATATTTATTATTAACTAGCTGACTCGGCAAACGTTGTTTTGCCATATAAATTATTGCTAGAGGAATCGGAACGCACGCATAATGTGATTGACAGGTTACACAGACATAGTTGACAGGTTGACAGGTACAGTTTGTATGAAAATAAAATTGTTGCTAATTCGATTTTCATTTTATTTAATTCAAAGAATAAAAGGCTGTGACCTGATACAGCTACCAGTAAAATTTTAAACGTCGATTACTCATGTTTTGTGATAAAAGGAACTATAATAGTCTCTGCACATAGAAGGTATCTTTTAAGACATATATGACTGTACCATGGAGTTACATCACTTTTGTACAGATTGACTCTCCTTTTGTAGAGTCGTCCTGCTTCATTGGCTGTACGACGTCGGTACTGAAGAAGCTTTATCTCACCTACTACATAGAGATAGTTCATAAAATTTAACACACAGTTATCTACCGAAAAACGACAATACTAAAGTACTCACTGAAATAACAGATTTTGATACATAACAGTCCTCATTCCACGTAAACGCTAGGTGGGGATTTAATGTTATTGCTAAGCGGCTCGCTGCCATTGATCTGAATCAGCCGATCTTTTACTTCCTCTTTCTTTAACCTTGAAAGCGACAATTGTAACGCTGCATAATTATTAAAAGTTGTAATTCAGCAAATTCCTAAGATACAATTACAGTGCTCATGTCTTGTTAAATGCCCTATTTTTATTAATAAACCAAATTTAATACACGAAATTAATAATTAAATATTTGTATAATATTAAACTCTGCCAAAGACGTATTAAATTAATTACCTGACTGAAATTTCAGATATAAGCTATATCGAAGTCTTGTATTTTAATAACGAATACTTATAAGAACATTAAACCTAAACAAATGATGATTGTAAATGATGTTAAAATACATGTACGCCTTGTGACAACGATAATTTGCAATCTTGGAATTAAGTAATCTTACATCGTATTAATGTAATGAATGTTATCAAACCTACCCTTTTTACTAGCGCTCTATGGCTGTGAATAGGTTCTTAGTCCATAGACAATGTCCCTTAGCTCACTGAATTGCTATTTCTTAATGATATTGCATATATTATATAGTATATTTAAACGCATAATTATACTTCCATTTTTAATACAAACACGTGATTTCTGTTCTTTTAAAATACACAATTTATTATGGATATTACTAGTAAGGTTTTGGTGCAAAATAACAGATTCGTAAACTAAACTCAGAACTCTAAACATCATACTAATCTGTCTAGACATCTCTTTTTTCTTTCTTCTTTCTTCCTGCCCTTATATCATCTAGCTGGGGTTGGCACAGCATGTAGCTATTAGAGCTGACGTCTGCTTGACGTCGCCTGATGTCAACCCTCCTTGGGAATAAACAGATCAACCAGATTTATCTGAGAGTCACACAAATACTTGTTACGTGTAGGAATTAAATCCATAACCCCCGGTGCCGAACAAAATAACTGAGCAACTGCGAGTCATTTTAATAAAATAGGATCGTTAGTCTTAACCAACTCATTATCCCCCTGCCCTTCTCCCAGCTAGGCGGAGTCAGCACGAGATGTGAATCATGTTGTAAATGGTTTGGCTATGTTTTTTACGACCGGCCGCCTGCGTTACGTCAACCCTCCTTGGGAATCAAACACCCAGGTCCAGTTCAAGTATCTGTGGGCCACACGAATACTTGTCCCGTGTGGTAATCGAACCTACGACCCCGGGCACCGACTAAACTTCGCTACCGAGTCGTTTTAATAAAGTAGAATAGTTAATCACTTATTAGTCTTGACTAACTATCCAATTTAATTATCGATGACGGTGTCAAACCAGAGCAAGCCCACCAGATATTAAGTAGCAGTTGCATCTGTGTTGCCAACCTTTGAGAGAGAGATTCCCGTAACCTGTTGTGTACTCACAAAGATAAAAACACTTCGATTTCACGTCAGTTTTCTGTGGAGCCGTAGTTCTTTAAACCCGATGACCCTGTACATTTGTGAAATAGGAGGCAGGCTGTGTGCCTCCATCGCATAATATTTACGAAACCCGAACTTAATGCTAACTAACGACCGGTTTCAATCTTCAATCTAAAGATTTAGCTTTGGTTACTAGCGATAGGTATTTGACATTAGCTCCATAATAGTTACGTCAAAATGTATCTCCAGTAACCAAATCTATCTGTAGATATAATATAGAAACCGCCCGTAGATTAACAGGCCGTAGTAGTAAATTATAATTGTTCCTGCACTATTAACGCGTTTATAAAACCACCTACCATAACATTTGTGTTGATGATATTTTTTTATGAAATATTCATCGGGTATAAATATCCAAATTTAACTAAATGCGGAATAAGTTCAATAATTCACTAGTGTCTGATCCACAGGTATCGATGGCACGGTTAACAATTAACTACTTTATTTTTTATTTGACTGTTATTCAATCCCGATGTACTAGATCGGACTTGACGCTGACGCCTTCGGTGTAACCACGCACGGCCACGCAGTGCCACTCCCATGTGAAGGGTAACCATTATTAATGAATAAATATCGGATAATTAGTACATAAATACGTAAAGGAAACTCAATGTTGTGTAACATTTTTAGGGTTCCAAAACTCCGCTATCTGACTATCGTCTGTCATCTCATGAACCGTGATAGTTAGACAATAGAAAATTTCACAGATGAAGTATTTCTATTGCCGCTATAACAACAAATACTTAAAAACAGAATAAAAAATATTTAAGTGGGGCTACCATCTTATCACGTGCTCCGCGGTGAAGGAAAACATCGTGAGGAAACCTGCATATTTTCGAAATAATAACAAAAAAAAATATTTCGAAGATATGTGAAGTCCGCCAATCCGCAGTGGGGCCGCGTGGTGGACTATGCCCTGATACCCTCTATATAGAGGAGGCCTTTGCCCAGCAGTGGGACATGTATAGGCTGTTAATTTACTTACTTTTTACTTACCATACAACAGACATGATTTTTTTTGCTGTTTTTATAGATAATGGTACGGAACCCTTCATGCGCGTGACCGACTCGCACTTGGCCAGTTTTTATTATTTCTTATTCATGACAAATGTGCGTTGATCGATACGGTATTCCGATGACAACTTCACTTTTAAATTCGCCTCCGAAATATTTAAAAAACATTTAACAAATCCCCAAACAAACCCGCTACATTAGATTTGTTATGCGAAAAGAATCATCAATCATGAAAAATTTAAAATAGTTACAGTGCTTACATGAAACTGCAACATTAGTGTGTTATTGTGTGTTGCAATTTATTTAGTAATATTAAGACAATATCAAATTGACTTCATTTATCGAATATCCAATGCAGTCACTATCTACAGTGACATCGATTAGCGCTCTGGTACCAAACAAGATACAGAGAACTGTTGCAGTTTTCAACCAAAGTTTAGTACGACAATTGGGTTCCCCCAAGTTGTCCCGTGTGGGACGAACCCACGACCCCCGACGCCGAAGCCAATACCTTGACAAATGCGCGACGGAGTCATCAGCTTTGATAACACGAGAGTTGGGCGATCGGGACTGTCCGTTGAAATTTGGTACACCTGGCCACAGCGTGACACCCGGCACATTACGGCCCGCTTACGGCCGGCGGGCGCACACCGCGCGCGGCCCTCCAGGATGCAGCACGCGTCGACGCTCGTCGTTCTAACGCGTGAGTATACTTCCATGCATTGTTTCGTCGCGACACAAACACCGACGAACGCGCCGCTGCTTGGACGGTGAAGTCGAGCGTGAGCGGCGGCCCATACAATTCGTGCGCATTTGCTACCGTTAAACGCACTAAAAACTTTGTAGGCCGTTTTCGTTATTTTCCGAACCGATGTGTGTGTACGTGCATACATATGTGTGTACACGTGTAAACTACTCGTGGAAAGCTCATCAGCGGCTGCGTAAACTTCCGAACGAATAATTGACAATCGATTGCGTGTAATTGGTGGAATAAAGGATAATTGGTCGATAACAATCGTTATCACTGTTAATATTAATATTGCTGGTGTAATAAAATTATTCTTAGAGATGATATACTTACGGCAAATATTACCGGAATTCCATTGCGTAGTAAAAGCACTCTTGCAAACAATTGTTCCGTTATGTCAAGATTCGTGCGTTTACGAGCTATGTTGCAACGCTTACTTAACGTAACTTACTAATGTACCACTTGTTATTAAATACATGCATATCATTATTTTTTCTATCTATTACAATAACATTACCTAGATTTAAAATTTTATCAAAAATGCATTAAATGCAATTGATAACGATTTAATAAATAACTTAGAGTTATAGGTAAAAGTCAAAAAGTTGTTATTGGTTGCTACCATGCATGTCGCTTTTTGACAGTCGGTGCGCGCATCGTAATAATCTCATAATATTTTCCAAGCGCGCCAAAAGAATTTTAACATCAAAAATATTTAATTATTAAAATTAAACGTAATGAGACGCGTCACACTAGTTAGAGCGTTGAACAGTCAACTCCCAGTTCAAAATGGAATTTTCAATTTACTCGATTATACGTAAGAATATAATTATGTGTAAGTACGAGACACTTATTAGAGGAATAAATTGAAAAGGTTACAAAAATGTCCATTGTCTACAACAAGAGTGGAGTGTGCGCATATTTTAATGGACATGCTGTTCACAGAACGGTGACAAATCAAACAGCGCACTTAACTCGTTACATTCCTATCGAAAGAAAAGGAATGTATCAATGAGGACTCGTCGGCCGGTTAAGGCTTACTTGCATAGAAAGGGCCGTAACCATAAACTAAGTGCAGTAACGAAAACGTATCTAAGTGAGTCACGGATTAATTCCTCAAGTCCAGAATACACATTGTTATATGCTCACCGTTTCAATGACCATAATGCTACGGAAAACGATTAAAATACAATAAACACATGAACTAAAGACTGGCACACTGAACGGTACGCAAAGATGATAATTTTTTACTCTACGATTCTTTCCTCTTTCGCTTACTCCGAATAACTTAACATATCCGAATATAATCATCACCGTTTTTAGTTCTAAATTGAGGACCCACTATACTTTATTATCGCCCAAAACCTTATCTGAAGTAAAGTTCTTAACTGCATCAATTACTTAGTCATAATTATGCCATCCACCGCTAGGTATGTATATAGTATACCTCCCTATTTAAATATTAACTAACGACCTCCGACCCCCAATGTATTATACCTATAAACCTACCTCTTGAATCACTCTATCTAGTTAAAAAAACCGCATCAAGATCCGTTGTGTAATTTTAAAGATCTAAGCAAACATAGGGACAAACAGACAGCGGGACGACTTTGTTTTATACTATGTAGTGATACGGAAATTACTTATATTGGCAGTAGTATATAGCAACGTTGGAGAAAATATTTTTTATGGACTATGGTGTATTTTAACATCGTGCATGCAGAGTAAGAATGGACGATACTATATAGTGATCTCAGACGAAGTGGGTTGTATTATAACCTTGAGCTCGTTATAAACCATATTCCGTTTTGACTCTCATAATTTACCTATGAAATAACGACTCTAGGATTATTGATGTTTCAGAAACAGTAACATATTTTATTTTCCAAGAATCCAATACCGTACTCAAAGAAGTGACAAGACTTTTGACGAAATAAACATACTAATAATAATTATAAACTGGCCACAATTTATGGGCAACGTTTGTAGAGTGGACAGGCAATCGTTCACATTTATCCACCAACCTAATTAATCGCCGAAATTGCCACCTAATTAATTAATATTAAATATTTTTTCTTTGTGACCATTCTTATTTATTTCTTTAATACCTTATACCTAAACTTATGTTACTGCGTGCAATTTAGTCCGTAGTCAAATACCGCAGATATTTGTACGTGTTTTGTTTTCTAACCTTAAAACAATACACGTAAAGGCAAATAAATACTACTACTACAACGTCGGACCCACCGTCGGGGGTCCCGCCGAATAACACTACACACTCGGTTAGTGTATCAACAAACAGCATAGTGCGTCCTCGCCTTCTAGCACGGCGAAACCAACACAACGCGTACACTAAGTACACCCGCGTTCCTGGGCGGTCCTCACCGCCCCCAGGCCACCGACTAACAACCTACCCACTGAGGAGGGCCTCAAACCCGTGGGGTCTGGCTAGCACACCGGTTCTACGTCCATCCTGCCATCTTATGGGATCTCTTCTCTTCTGCGTTCATGGCGCGAAGGTCCTTCACCACTTCATCCTTCCAGCGGTATCTGGGCCGCCCAATCGGCCGTCGGCCTCCAGGTCTTCCATCATCGCCCTTCTCTCTTCACCGTCCTGTCCGCCGGCATTCGTTCCAGGTGCCAAAGCCAGCGGTGTCTCGCGGATTTAATCTCGCCCATGATGTTGGACTCAGACACCAAATCTTCTATCGCCTGGCTCTCTCTTATCCTGCAGGTGCCGTCTTGTCTCTGCACGGGCCCCAAAATCTTACGAAATATTTTTCGTTCGGCGACAAGAAACTTACTCTCTTCCCTCAGTATCAGTGTCGAGTTTCGCAGCCATACATTAAAATGTGCCTTATGACGGTGTTATATATACGTATATTAGTTTTCCGGCGCATAACCTTAGACACTAACATTTTGTGTAGAGCTGCCGCACATCATATAGTGCCCTGATTGCGAAATTCAATCTCCTCCTCCCTGCTATTGGTATCCGTTATCACGCAGCCTAGTTATTTACCTTTTTCGACTATATTATATGTACTAATTTGTTCCAGTATCTTCTCATGAGTAACATATTCCGTCCTTCATATATTAATTAAAGACAAATAAATAATAAACATAAAATACCGTAATTTAAGCGATAAATAAAAAAACGAATTCGAATTATAATTAATAATAAGCTATATTCGAAAATGACTATTCCTCGTGAAATAAAAAAATAACCGTGTTGGTGGAACAATATCTCGTCCGTTATATAGACCTTTGTGTGTTGCAATAAATTTTATTTGTCGCCGATCAATGGCTTTAAGACAGGATTGTCCTACACAAGTATTACGAAGGCGGTAATGGAATTTTAATCGCGGTAAGAAGGTAGAGGCAGCAGTACCTAGTATAAATAAGGATTATATTTCTGTACCATGGATTAATACATATTTTATGTGTATAGAAGTGACTTACGAAGATATGAATTACGAGAATATGTGTTTACGTTTCTTAGTTAATAACACTTCTCGGCGTTGAAAATGTTTCAGTGGATGAGCAAACCGTTAGGAATATCGTTATTCATAATAACATAATCAATATAATATTTTTTGAGCTAAACATTATAACTTGATATGAGCAAATCAAATAAAATAAACAAAAAAACTAACTTTTATGAACACTTTATCAAACAATTTTCAAAGCAGACAATTTCGATGAAATTTCTTTTAGAAGGACCTGCATAAATAATTTGGTTTTCCCACGGTTGTATTACGTAATACATATTACAGGCCTTTTTATTTATAGCGGACATTTGATCAATGAAACGAAAATATTCTATCCCTGTCACCGGCCGAGGGACTTGACCTTACGGCGGGGGCCGATCGCAAAAAGCGGACCTTGGAAACTGGTTCCTTTTCCGCCGCGAGATATGACGGGGCTTCGCGCAAAAAGAACAAAACACATCAACTTTGTACAAAGAAACGGAATCCTGAATCATAAAGCTGGAATCAAATCTTTCCTTGACACAAATAACTAAAAGCACCGTTAGAAAAACGGATATTTATGCAAATCGATTAATTGTCGCTTTACAGTTTGTACAATGTGATGGACTTAAGTAGGTACATGTCGTTATCTAGAGATAATGGCAACCAAGAGGGCAGTTCACAACATTTTATCGCCGCCAATGGATCTGACCGATATGGTATGGTCTATAGGCCCCGGTTACTTCACGCACCAAAGGAAACGCAAATGTACATATAATCTTGGTACTGTGCTACTTCCTCGGCAAAGCCGCCTCGCCTCATTCATGCCACAGCAGAATCTGCTGCGTAGACCCGATAACACTATTGCAACAAACACTTATGATGAATCTACAACGCATATTAAATACTTACTCGCTTTTATTTCAGTGTTACAACTATGCCGAGCGGAAATACCTAATGCGTTACCGGAATGGTACGCGGCAAACCTAATAAACGACGCGGGATTCCAACCAAAGCCAATCACGGAGATATTCACAACGCAAGCGACGTTCTCGTCTAAGAATCCTATTGTGGTTACATCGACGACCCCCGGTTCGGAAACGGAAGTGGTGTTTTCGACGTCGCCCACTACTAGGACTCAAACAACTGTGGCGGAATCGTTGCCGTCTACTGAAGACACCACCCAGAAGGTTATACCGCTGCGAGAGAACCGTCCACCAGCGTCACAACCGCTGGACATACCGAGGCAGGTGTATCAACCACCACCGCAACATATACAAGTTTTAGTAGCGCAGCCGCCTCAGCAAGTTCTAACTCCACAGCAGATTCAACCGTCCCCGCAAATTCCACCGGCCCCCCAAATTCCCCCATCCCCCCAAATCCAATTGCCACCACATCCGGTAAACCAGCAACAGACAACGGGGCAACCTAACTATTTCCTCATATACCAGCAAGCGCCGCTTTCCATACAACAGTACCCCCAATCCGCATCTCAGTCGAGACCAAGCTCCCCATCGACGCCGCAAACGACCACACAACTGGCCGAGACGCAAACAACAACACAAGAGGCGACTCGGCTAACTACACAGCCACCGACGGTAATAACAGAAAAAATTGAGGAAACCAGATCGACTGACATTTTGACAACTCAAACATCAACCACACCAGTTCCCAAGAGCGCACACAGGAATGTCCGTCAGGGTCCGTTTAATTTCAGCTCCACGGTTGGCCCGTTCGGCGGGGCTTGGCAAAGTCCAAGCACTGTCCCGGGCGCCGCGTACTCTAACCCACCAATCAGTTCCACGATACTACCCAGCGGTCCATACGTCCCATGTTCAAATCCAAGCACTGCTGGAAGAGTCCCCAAAACAACTCCGAGTGCCTTGCCACCGCAGAAACAGAATGGGCTATCGGGGCTCACGATACGCGTTTCCGCGCCAAGAGGTTCCATCACAAATATAAAAATCAATCCATCAACAACGACGAAGAAGCCGCCCAGACCGCGAAGGAAGGGCAACAATTACAATAACTGCGTGGACTCTTGCAGAGGGAAGAAGGAACCGCTTTGTGCAGCTCCGTTAGCAGTTATACCGATAGATCCAGACAATTTGAAGGGTTTCCCTTCGATCTGCCACTTGGCGTGCCACAACTCTTTTAGAAAAAATCGTAAGTATTAACGTACAAGATCCTACAGAAATCGTAATTTACATAAAGACACGAAAAAAAAAACCACTCAGTTTAAAAAAGAGTAAAAAGGCAAAGGCTTCCTCTATACAGAGGACGACGATTGGCGGACTTAACATTATCATCGAAACATTTTTTTGTTATTATTTCAAAAATACGCAGGTTTCCTCACCGCTTAGCACGTGATAAGTCAGCACTTAAACAATTTTATTGGTTTTGACACTGGGATTTGAACTCAGGTTGCTCGAGTATATTGAATTAAAGGCGCGCGTCCGGCACGGCTTTAATTTAAAGAATTTTTTTCTTTGAATACTTAAATAATAACATAATCTTGAACTGATTTAATGACTAATGAAACACTGCCGTTGTTTCTTTTTTCAGAACCTTACGAGAAAATTATGGACGGACGGTGCAGTAAACTGAGGACGCGCATCCGTACCTTTGACAAGAACAAGCTTAAAAGGGAAGAACTGAATAAGGCACAGTACACGGTACTGAACAACGGCCCAGAAACTGTCGTCCAAGTTATACAAAACGAAAGGAGTGGTCTATTTTGAATACGGCAAAAGAAATTGCAATTACCGTTTACAGAATGAAATCCCGATCCTATCGTTAAGGAATTGTAAATTGTTATAAGGTTAAATACTTTATTATCTTAAAAGGCATGAAAACAAGGAATTTTTACGTCATTATTTTACATAGAGGGTGCAAATTTTCCATGCGATATTCGTCGTACCGAGAAATGTTTGTATCCAGTACGTTAAGCTTGTTTTTTGGGGTGTAAAAACCTTACCTCGTTGTAATAGCATAGCGTTAGTTAAGACTCGTTTGTTACATTGTGTACATAGGAAATCATTGTATAAAGTTTCACTTGTGTAACCAATCGCCCGCGGTAGGGCGACGCAACAGTTTTCGCTGTTGCACGAATGGGCAGGTCCGTCCGGGAAAATAACACGACCTCACAGAAAACCGACGTGAAGTGGAAGTGTTGTCTTGTATTAACTGATGTTTTTGCTTTCAGTCCCGAGACTATTAAAGCTTCATCTGACGCAATAGTGTTGTGCTTACGCGTTTCGTCTGGTGAGCGAGGATCCGGGGCCAATTTTATTATGAGGTGGCAACGCATCTGCAACCCTACGGGTGTTGCAAATGTCAATGGGCGGTGACTATTAACGTCAGGCGAGCCACCAGCTCGCTTGCCACATTCTTATACAAAAAAAAAAAAAAGATTGTGCCAAATTTCCGATTCATCATTTATCGTTTGCGTATACTTATTAACGAAACTTAACGCATTTCATTGGAATGAAAGACATTCGAATGACAGATTCAAGAGATAGTTGTTTTACCGTATCGGCAAAGTGGTAAAGGGGAAATTCGGACTAGTAAGGGCTACCGCAAAAGATTTTTGCTATAGTACACGTTTTGAGACGCAATTGTGTAAGTTCAACGCTAGCCTTCATCTATTTAAAAATTTATATTGAAGTATATTATAAATAATTATCAGCATGATGTCCAACATTAATGACAAATTTATCCTCAAAAGTGATTAACGACATTCACTGATAATATAAGAAATTATAACAACAGACTTTTTTTATTCAATCTATTTCTGTGCTGAATTTGCGCTATGAAAAAAGTATTTTTTTTGTTCTATAAAAATCTTCAAAAATTAAGCTCAAAAGTGAAGTAAGAATTTGCGATAAAAAAGGAATCCACGATCGGCGATGGTGAAAAAATTTTTAATATTAGCTTATACAAAGAGTAATTGGATACTACCAATTAAATAAAACTTAATTAATTTAGTCACCATCTGATTTTAAAATATTGTTTAATATTGATTGTAGATAGTTTTAAAATATTTTTTTCATACAAACAAAATATAAACTACATTAATACATAACATTCCCACCTAAATAGTTTGTATGAGAGTGTATTGATATATTTCACTAAATTGTATCACAGTTTCTATACTGTTCCTAATATTAAATTTTGATTTAAGTATATGTGATTGTTTGACAATATGCAATATATAATATTACATCACCTCGTTTTTTTTAAATGTCTGTATGTAGAATGTAAGAAACAATTCCGTCCAAGCTATATGGTGTACTTGGTTTTTTTTATCTTATAAGTTTATATGAAATGTTTTGTAACTAGCGTGTAGTTAAAATAAATGTACGGAAATAAAATATGCGTAATATTGTCTGATTTTATCCCAATCGCTTATCATTCTTTTAATATTTCAAATAAATTTTATTTACATATTCAAACTTAAATAATACCCACTCGTTTTGTATATTTGTTGAAATACAGCAGAAAAAAGAAACATTGAATGTTCAAAGATTTTAATATGCAGGAACTTTACATTACTTTAAAATGCATTCAACATTCAAAAGATGTTACTTGTATTAATTTTTTAAATAGTTTCGTACAATAAACTTGATTAGACCCTTACAACCTCATACAACAGGAGATTTCTGTCACAGACATACATTTTACATTTTACAAAAAACACTTTTTATTTCACACATAGTTATCACAAGGTGACAATTCAACAGCACATTTTAATATCATCTGGTATCATAGGTATCACAACAAAAATTATAACATGAAAAATCTGAGTAAGGATAACTTTCCCTGCGTTTAGTCTGTTATAAAAAAAGTGGCGGAGACAATTTAGAAAAATTAAAAATACTTTTGATATAAACATTTTTTACTTATGAAGAGTAGAAAATAAATATTTTTGAATTACGTGAGTTAAAACGAGCCTTATGAAAAGGACACCGTTACATTCCATAGAGCTGTAATCGTAAAGCTAAATTACATAGAATAACGTGGCTTTGAAAAACTCCGCAATCAGGAAGTCATACGTGGACGTGGATTTAGATGTCCGCAACTCTTCTGTCGTAGGCTATTTTATACACTACTATATATACTATATTTTATATATATTTTATATACTACTCTAGATCGATCAAACTTTTCATCTAGAACCTCTGTTGGAAGTTGCCTTGCTGTTGGGCGTTGCCCCCTTGTTGTTGGCCGCCAAACATCATCTGTTGTTGTTGGTGGAACTCTTGTTGGCCACCGCCAGTAGCGTTGTTACCTTGATTCGGACCTGAAAATTGTTTGTTAATGCGAATTTTCATGTTATTCACGTGCGATATTAAACTCTGTAACCTATTACCTAGGGTATAGGGTCCATTAAGCTAGAGAAACCGAGCTACTTTACTTTCAGTCCGTAGACTAAATAAAGCTCAACGGCTCGGTGCCAGATGAAGCCTCTATGAACTCTACTAACAGTAACTAACAGTCATGAAAAAAAAAAACTAATACTAAATATTGACCGTGTTCATTATCTCATTTCAGGTCTACGCTAATTAATTCCCTGCTTCAGTTGAACAGTCGCGTAGAAATACTTAGTCGTATATATAGTAAATGTGTCGCTTAACAAAACCTAGCTTAATATTCAAAACAGGGTCACAAAATTGTTCGAACATATATGCACTAGTAATACCTCCGCAACCCGTGTAATGCACAATAACTTGAGCGAAGTTCAAGGGCGTTCAATTAAATTAGCTTGGCTTAAATATCATAAATTTAATGTAATAAATAATTTATTTTTTCACAAACAAACCCGAGAAAATGTAAACTCGGATCACGAATAACACTTGAAGAAAGCAAGAACTCGAATCATGTCGCCAAGTGACGACCCGAATGGCGTTGTGAGTAGTGTACCTGCCTCCTGCGCCAGAGGGTGTGGGTTCGATCCCCACTACTGGATAAATGTTGCGTTATGAACATAGTACTTTTCTAGTGTCTGGGTGTTAATATATGTATAATATGTATTTATTTACAAAAGAAATGTATGTTTAAGAATGTTTATCAGTTTTCTAGTACCCATAGTACAAGCTTTGCTTAGTTTGGGACTAGAGAATGTTGTGTAAAAATGTGTCCTAAAATATTTATTTATTATTTAAGCTCTCATTGCTATTTTTTAATAAATTATAAGATTTTTGCCATAACCGTCTATTCTGCCGTTACACACACTGATTTACTAGTTTTAACAATTAAAATATTTATTTACTCCAAGCTCTACAATGATGAGTTTCTAATCATACCTGGCATTCTCATTCGCTTCGCGTTGTTAGCTCCATGATCATGACTGTTAGCTTGCACTTGATTTTGTTGTGTCTGAAATAAGATAAGTACCCATTAAAACCGGCCAAGTGCGATCGAACTCTCGCACCAAGAGTTCCGAACCATTATATAAAAACGGCAAAAAAAATCATGTCTTTTGTATGGGAGGCCCACTTAAATATTTTTTATTGTTTTTCAGTATTTATTGTTATAGCGGCAACAGAAATACATCATGTGTGAAAATTTCAACTGTCTAACTATCACGGTTATGAGGTACGGCTTAGTGACAGACAGTCAGACAGACAGACAGCAGAGTCTTAGTAATAGGGTCCCGTTTTAACGTGTCGACGGAACCTTAAAAATTAACTGTGGTAGGAACACACAACGGCTTCGGCTGTTGCACGAATGGGCAGGCTCGTCCGGGTAAGTACCACGACCTCACAGAAGACCGGCGTGAAGTGAAAGTACAATACTTTCGCGTTCCGTCTGGTGAGTGAGGTAGCTGGAGCCAAATTTTCAAGGTTGTCAACGCATCTGCAACCCACGGGTGTGGCAGATGTCCATGGACGGCGGTATTCACTTAACATCAGGTGAACCGTCTGCTCGCTTGGCAACTTTTCGCATTTTACAAAATAAACACGTAATATGTTAAAATAATGGGAGGTTTATTTTTATATTAAACAGATGTTTGGGGCGAAATAGAGAAATGAACAAAAACATCTGTTTAGGATTTACGAATTTATTTTGCAGTATAATTTTTTTTCCAATGGAAAAAGTTTTCTAAGCAATATGAAAAGCCGTTAAAGTCGTGGCAAAAGCAATCCTTCAGCTAAGTTGCAAGTTAAGTTATGATTAGATCGTCAATTTTAAAGTTTTTTTTATAGTGCTAATCTCTGCACTTAAGATTGAACATTAAAAAGCGTCAGGCCGCGAATGCCGAAGACGTGGGTTCGATTCCCACAGCGGCGATAATCTTTTCGTACTTTTTCTACATGCTTTAGATCGTCAAGTTAAGATGCAAGCATAAAATAAGTTACGGGCATTAAGTTACTCACATTGGGCTGTTGTTGTTGCTGATTTTGGCGCGCCTTCGAATCGCTCTTATCATCCTGGTCGTCGTCCGTCAAGAACTCCCTCTTTGGATATGGTATGGGACAACCAGCAAAAACATCCTTGAAGAAAATTATAAAATCCTATTAACTTCATCTCCTGATAGAATATTAAAGAAAATCAACAATTTCTATATTGCTCTTATTATTAATGTTCAGTTTGTTTATTAATTATTAACATTATATTATTACATTTAACAATATAACTACTCGTTTACTTCTGATGTAAAGAAAGATAATCTTTACTGGTATAGCAGGAGGTGAAACAGCAGTTTTTGCTATAAATCACCAAAACACTAGTAGAAATGCGCATACATATATTATGTACGGTTATATACACAAGCCTGGGACGAAAAGTTTTTGTTTCATTCTGCAAATTACTAAAGCAAAGCTTACCAAATACTAAAACACGGTTTACTATTATTTAAAGAAGGTTGGAACGAATAAGTATGTACGGATTTTGTTGTATAGTCACTAACGGTCGAATATTTTAAATATAAAATATTCTTTATAATATGTATATGGTGTGTTATAGTAAATCTTAAATAAATAGCGTTTTGGAGGTTAGCAATTTTATGATGTTTAAAGCGTATATGTATTTATTTCATTCACATAAATCCATATTGCAATTTCATTTATTGCACCAAACACGATTTCTTCTCACGCCTCGGGTTGAATGGCATTCTCTGCCTACAGATATTGATTTCGCCAATTGTAATTTTTCGTATCACGACAGTTCAGTGTTTTCGAAACAAATTTCAAATAAAAGATGGGGCCCCGGTTGTGCCACTCAGCAGGCGAAACGTAAAAATGTAGTACTTCCAATCCTAGCCGGTGTTCTGTGAGGTTTACCGGCAAAAATTATGAGCTTGATAGAAACCAATAATACTTCCAGTATTATTGGGTTCTACGCACAAATCTACAGACATTTGTAGGCAAATGATTTTATGCAAGTAAACTATTATTATTACGATCAGCTAAAATCGTGTTTCTATGAACATTCACACCTATAATAAGAAAGATTAAATATATTTGTTTAGTATTTTTGAAACAAAATAATATTTACCTGTGTTGGCAAAGGGTCTTCGGTAAAATAAGGATCTTGCATTGCCTGTTCTGAAGTTATTCTTCTGTTAGGGTCCATTAAAAGTAACCTCTGTAAGAGACTGAATGCTTTGCTGTCTGGTTTTATTTTATGTCTGTCCATATATTTACTTAACGAGCAATTTTGATAACTGTAAATAAATAGAGATATTATATAATGCTACAACTGAATAACTTAACATTTGAAAACAAATAAGTGACATTCATGTGCAGAATCATCTAACCTCTTAAGTTCCTTAAACAGATGTATCAATTACCAAAAGATTCGAGTTCTAAGATAACTTATAGGATATCATAGAGATTTATAAAGAAAAAAATATTGTCATAAATTTAAAAGAAATGCAACACAATCTTATACATTTTGCTTCCAAGTAATTACTGAATTAAACAATATACTTTTTATATTGCAAAGCATTACCGAGGACACCGGCCGCTGAGCTCAGTTGGTGTTTGAAATCTTTTTACATAACAAATTATAGTCAAATGAAAAAAAAAATAGTTTTGCAAGCTGAAAACAATTAAAAATAGAAAGGAAACAATGTTGTTTATAACATACTTTGATCTCTTAAAATCCTTCACTAATGTAGCATGTTCTGGCATTTTTCTAATATCCTCCCAATCTTTTTCTTGTGGGAATCCCATGACATTGAATATCCTGTCTAATTGATCATGATGGTATGGATTGCTTGTCTTAATATCCTCTTGACGGCAGTGAAAAATTGGTTCAGATGTCAAAAGCTCCGCAAATATGCACCCAATGGCCCAAATATCTATGAGAAAACATTTATTTTATTTTACAATAATACAGGCACCTAGCATGTCATTGATTGAAATCACTGCCCTAATATCCTAAATACTTGGACATTTTCATAAGATCTGCCAATCCTATCACTAATTCAAGACCATGTAAGACATTATATTGTTCAGACCCATCCAATTTTGCTAGTACATTTTAAGTGTTTAATTACAATTTTCTAAATTGAAAATGTGGTGTCAAAGCTATATACATAACAACATAATAATTTTACTTTGACTTTAAATTTGATACAGTTTTTATGTTAAAGGTCTAAAAAGAGTAGAAAGTATAGTATGATCTTACCAATAGCTTTTGTGTAATGCCTAGCACCAAGTAACAGCTCTGGAGCTCTATACCAGAAAGTAACTACAACTGGATCAAGATCGGCAAGGGGTTTCAAGGGAGCATTGAATAACCTGGCAAAACCCATATCAGCTATCTTAACCCTCCCCCGTTCAGGGCCTTCACCCATAACTAAGATATTGGCAGGTTTCTGTAAAATAAAATTATTCTATTAACAATTTTGACCAATCAGGGGCCACATAGCAACCTTTGCTGTTGCAGAGGCTCATCTCAAGGCTCAAATACTACAGATTAAAGGAAGACCCATGTGAAGTGGAAGTATAATACTTTTGTTTCATGGGGGGAGAGGTATAGAACCCATCTACAAGCTCATGGGTTTTGCAAACATCAATGCACAGTAGGTGTCACTTAACATCTGCAGACTTAAATAGTAGTTAGTAGACAGACTTAAATAGTAGTTAGTAGTAAACCTATTAAAAAACTATACATTAAGTATAAAATAAAAAACCTCACTCTGCTAATTACACCTAAAATCTTTATAATGAAACCATTTTATTTATCACCATACATTTAGAAAATAGTATAAGGCTATTTTATGATAAAGATAAAATACTGTGCATATAGCTGTAATAGCCAACACTTCTGACCAATAAGAAATTGAACTGAAATGGGAAAAATTTTCATTTTTCCGAACAGTTTTTCAAGCTTGGATTTTTTTTATCAATAGAGAAATATCACTGATGAAATAATGTACAAGTTAAAACCCATGCAAATACTTTCTTTAAATTTTAATAGCAAAAAATAATTACATATACTATACCTATATAGTTACATATACAGTTATATTGACTAAGAAAGTCCACCATTTAATGTCCACAGTACTGCCAACATGCTAAATATAGGAATTGGGTCAATATCATATTCATAGTAATTGTAAAATCAATTATAATTTTTCTAAAAATTTGAGTTAATGTTAACTAAGCTAAATTGTGTTTAGCATTAATTTATCTCAAACTGATTGGTTATCTTCAAAATGAGTGAAAGATCCGACTGACACAGACTGTGTGTGATCTTGTGGTTCCTATCCCTAGGGTGAATATAAAAATGCGGGTGCCAGAAGCTCTTGTCAGAGATCCTGAGTGCAGCAAGCTTGCAAAGCCAAGTGGAGCATAGGGGCGGGGTGGCTAGTTAAGGGAGCTGGTGAGGTCTATAGCACAACAAAGGTCAAGTGCTTGAAGCGGTAATCAGGGCGACATAGCGAGAGTTCTGGCAAGAGCGCATGAAAGTCAAATTTCATCAGAGAAAAAAATCTACGCTTAAAAACCTATTCAGAGGTAATAACCCCCCTTAAAAGGAAAACGTGCGGATCCCCGCCTTTTCTAGTCTTTTAAATTTTTAATTTTGAGGAAATTTCAAGTAGAGTTGGGGTCAATAAATTTGGTTTTTTGACAAAAGTTGAACCTAACCTATTTTATTTGAAGACTATAGGGGAAAAACAATGAATGTCAGTAAAAACAACATGCCTGGATGAAACTTTGTGTGTGCGCTTATAATAATGTACCCTTTCTGTAGTAAAATTATCAACCCCCAACTCAAAGGAAGTCAATGAAAAGGTAAGCCAATAAATGTTTGTAACATCAATATCATGAATGTTAACTTACCAAATCTCTATGCAGTACCCAATTTGAATGCAGATAATGTATTCCATCCAGTATTTGATACAATAAGCTTTTTACCATACCCTTTGGTACCATTACTGATTTTTTATTAGCTTTTGCTGCTCTATGAAACTTAATAATATGCCAGAGATCATGCTCTGCATAGTCAAATAGCAACCATACTTTGCGATCAGTATGAGAGAGGAACACGCGTATAAGGTTAATGACATTAGAATGTTTTAGTTCTCTCAGCAACTGAAAGAATGAATTTAAATTACTAAAGCACACAATCATTCTTTGTTGCTTGAGAAAGGTGATCAGATTTACTTATTGTATAGAACATATCCCAACATTACTGATAGTGAATATATCATACAAAATCAAACAATTATTGTAAAATTAATTTATTGTATATTAATGTGACAGCTAATGCATTTTTAAATCATCATCATCATCATCATTTCAGCCTGTTTGAGTCCACTGCTGAACATAGGCCTCCCCCATAGACTGCCATGAAGTATGATCCTGAGCCACATGCATCCATCAACTTCCCGCACATTAGCAAAGGTCATCACTGCATCTAGTGGGGGGTCGTCCTACATTGCGATGGCCAGTACGAGGCTGCCACTCGAGAACCTTTCTTCCCCAACGGTTATCGGTTCTACGAGCTATATGACCGGCCCATCACCACCGCCGTGATGGCGATGGGCGTGGTCCTTCACTGCTGGCCGTATGAGGAAGCTCAAAGTCGCTCAGCGAGCTATGGAGCGGGCTATGCCCGGTATTTCTCTGCGTGATTGAGTTCGTAACCAAGATATCCGACGTAGAACCAAGATAACTGATATAGCTCAGAGGATTAGCAGTTTTACATAAATTTATTTAACATAAGAATAACTTACAGCAATTTCTCTACAAGCTGACATAGAAAGTCCAGTTCCTTCTATTTGTTTTAAAGCATAGTCTTTAGTGTCAGAACCGTCTTTCCGTCGAGCTTTGTAAACATGTCCGTAAGTTCCTCTCCCAACTTTACAACCCTCAAAGTCAAATAGGTCCTCAACTTTAGAACGTTCATTTTGTGTTTTAATTTTAAAGTCGTAGTCCATCATAACCGGAGCCATAGTTTTATTATTTTGAAAATTATCTGCCATTTTCGTGATTTAAAACGCAAACCTAAATAAAATCAACTACGATCAAAATGGAGTTTTGAAAGCTGCTTATTATTCCGAAGATAGGAAAAAATAACAATTAATTAAAAAAATTCAAATCCATACAAACAAACAAACTTGAGCAACAAAGATGATGGTTGATTTGATGATACTAATAATTACTATTACTAGGCATGGGCAAAAAATATCGTAATATAAAAATATCGATATTTATCAAAACAAATATCGATATATGTCTTCGATACTTTTATTCTCGATATATCGATATTCGGTATTTATTTTCGACTATCGAATTCTTGTCAATTTCGATATATTTTTTTACGCAACACTGGTTTGGTGTCTAGTGTTACTACGCGTGCATGAATGACAACACTTTTTTTTAATAAAGATTTTTTTAATTATAGCCTGGTAACAAGATCTTTAAGCCAATACCATGAAAATACTAATTACCAAAACTAATAAACCATCAGTATGAGACGTATATGATCCTGAAGTTAACAAACAATAGGGAAGATTCAGATCTAATATTTTTCAATTTTTTGTGACTAAAATGTTAAAGAATCCATAAAAAACTGGCCACGTATGCAACATTTTTATTTTGTTTTATATTGATTTTTAACAAATAAGCGCCAATAAGCGTCTAGTGACGTCATTCCTGTTTTGACAGCTTATAAAGGTTTTGGAAATTTATTTTGGATTTGGATTATTTTATTTTGTTTTGGAGGATTGGAAATTTAAATGTATTTTTGAATAAAAATGGAGATTGGGATTATAAAAGCAGACTCCCGGAATTTACCGGAAGTTAGTTGACATGGTTATAAATGTTTTTGTTGAAAGTGCAGAGTTTTCAAGTGTAGAAATGAAAGGGATTAAAATGTTACGATTTTTATAAATCACAGTGAGACTTAGTATTTCATTCAATAGCTTCTACATTTAGCTGTTATTTCAGTTCAACAAAGCAATTTTGTCGTGACAGGTCTCGGTTATGTCCAAATCAAAACAGATGGAGATGACGTCTGATAATATTAACATGGTTTTTTCCCATTGTGGTTTGAGTTAAGATATATAGAGCTATAGATACAAAAGCAAATTTTCATACATACATAGCATGAAGTTATATAAGTAAAAAGTATGCATTTTCTATTTTTACAGGTATGGAAGGATCACTGGCTCAACTTTTTATGAAGTTGCTCACTGTAACAAAAGTAAAATTGGTTCTCTACTGATCAAAATTATGGGGGCACGATCAAAGTTTACTTCCATTGCTAGATGGCTAGAGGGAAAAAATATAAAAAATTTTGGGCACAAGTTCAGCTTAAAATGTTATTCAGCAGAAGAAAAAATGCAATTTTCTGTGTGGCAAAGCCAAATTTTGAAAAAATCTAAAGAAGTAGATGTGTATAATGCGCCATCAGTCTGGCGAAACTAGGAACAAAAAACTTTTCTATGGACTTTACGCGGCAGAGTTGTACTTTTAATTCAAAATGCCAAAAAGACGGTTTATTTGCTGTGAAATTGGTGAAAATCGAGCAATTCATTCGAATCTTGAAAAAAGGATGTTTATGGCGAGATTTCCCTTAGATGAAGCCCATGTAAGCACTTAAATATGATACTTGGCAGCCATATGTAAGTAGGCCAGGCTAAGAACAAATAAAATTAACAAATTTATCTCATTTAAATTGTGTGCTAGTGATGTACTGCAACTGTAATATCCAAATATCGATAACTACGTTAATGTTTATCATTGAAAAAAAATAAGAAATAAAATGTTGCGTGAAAGAGTAGGGGCACAAAGTTTTACATATTTGAATGGTGTGCCTACATAAATGAGCAAGGATCGGAATAGGTGAATTTTGCAGGATTTTGAAACATAATCTCTGTAATATTGATACGTCATATAATTAATTTCGTGCGCTGAGTATGCAAGAAAACTAAAACAATTTTTGGATTTTGATTTTATTTTTGTTTCAATTATTTCCAGACTCATGTACAGTAGGACAACAGCTGTTGACTGAAGAATCAAGAGACAAGAAATAAATTTCATTTCAGTAATTAAATTTTATTTGAATTATCAGAAACCGTTTTTATCTTATTTCGGGTCCGCATTTAAATCCAATCTTGTATTAGTACCAAATATCCCCTCATCAACATTGGGCATAAATACGTACTCGATACTTACCTAAAATTAATAAAAAAAACTAAGTGGAAACCTCGATTTCTACCTAGTATATTTTATCGATATCGATAAGCTAGCTTGGTTAAGCACTATTTGTTTCGTAACGTTGGTACTCCTGTTGTTTGACATCTTTGTGGTATTTTGTGGTATGGTTGGTATTGGAGTGCCGCGTGAACTGATATTTTTGGCTAGTATGGAAGTCCCGTCTCTTAAACGTAGTGATTACATTCTCTATGTGCGCCATTTGATAACAGCGTCATATCTGTTTTGGACGCTGCAATGAAGTTCTGGGTAGATGCTATATTCCCAAAATATTATATAGATATAACATTTCACCATTTTTTTGATAAACATATAAAATAGAACCCTATTTTTAATACAGTTTTTTATTCAAACAAACTCGCAGTCTTCTGATCTCTCTTTCAATGTGAATCCGTAGGTTTGCAATTTTCTTTCGACCTTAACACATCCTTCTTCGCACTTTAACTATTTGTGGAATTTTGTTAGGTTAGATTAGGCATGAAACACGGATATTTTTTGGAACATTGGTGGCATTGTGATGATTACCTGACGTTGATAGATAGTTCATTTTTTATTTATTGTACTTTGAGGTATTTATTTAAAAAAATAATAATAAATTTCTAGAAAGTCAAAACTTATGCGTTGAGACAAATTATTTGGCAAGTGACAGATGACAGACAGGAGTGACGTCATCGCAATTGTACATCCGTTTTCGCAAAAATTTAAATCATCAATTTAAAACCGCATTTTTTACAATAAATTATATTATTTTAATTTTTTAATATGCTAGTGGTCTATTCTACATGAAATCCAATCGAATAAACCCAAAAATAAAAATATTGCATCTTTCCTCAAATGTACGGACTGAAAAAACCGTGTTAGTAGCTGTAACGAAACATCATAGATAAAATACTACATATGAAATGAAGTAAAATACAATATATGAAGATGAACATATTATTTATTATGGACGAAAGTAGAAATGAAGAAAATGATGAAAGTATAGATGGTAAGTGGCGATGCAGCCGTTGATGGTAACGTGCTTTCTCAGTAAAAACCTATTCACTCTTGCCTTGAAGACGCCTACATTGTAATCAAAATACTTGAATGAATATTATTCATCACGTAGAAAAACTGTTGTAGGATTAAAAGGTGCCGGGTTCTCATTGATTAACACTAACTTTACCAAGGAGGACCTGACAGTGCAGAACGTTCCTCTATTCCTTACGTGCATTGCATGTTTAAAAAGACAGGCAATGTACTCAAGTGTACCTAATCGAAGGACGATTTTGGCAGCGAACCAAAGGTTATTAGATTTTGGACAATTTACTACAGCGGCGTATACAATGCTCAGACACAAATAATGTTAAAAAATAGTTTGAGAAAGAGTGCTCAGCTTTGTATTAAGAGAAATGGACTCCATTTTGATCAATTGTTAAAATATCAGTGAGTGTTTTTGTGACTAAAGGAATAGGTAAGTTTAACTGTCGTAAATATTTTATTCCACTTTTTAAATACGCCATAATAAGTATGAACAATAGTGTGTGATTTTAAAATAATAAAATAGTATTTATAAAATAGTACTCATAAATATCGGCCTCGATATATCGAAAAAAATATCGAGATATCGCTCAAATTTTCAGTTTTAAAAAAATAATGTATTTAGTTTAGTCTGATTCAATAATAAGTAATAGTAATTTTTATACCAAATTAACATTATGTAAATGAATAATAAATTTTAATAAACCGTTAATTATTTATCACTGGAAAAAAAGCTTATTTAGTAAGATAAAACTGTTTCTTTAGCCCTGAATCGAATCAAAAAATAACTAATTAAAAAACATGTAACTTTGTAAAAAAACACAAAGAATAGTTTAAAACGAAGTTAATAATGGGTCAAAAAGAAACCCGCAGAGACTTGTCCTAAAAGACAGGCCTAGATCAACAGAATTGTTAACTTTATTTACCTATTAAATTAAAATAACTTTAGTTGATGCCATTAACATTTTGCATGCATGTTATAAATTAAAGTAATATGTACTTCAATATTAATGATTTGTAACACCTCTGTACCATGTTATACCTAAGATATGGATAGTATAAAGTACGAAGCATCAATTTGTAGTATTAAATATCATAATTATAGTACAAAATGCAAATCCACAGTTTTTTTCTGTTCATTTTTATCTTTTAAGGCTTTGAATCAGTTTGAATAAAAATATCGTTTTTGTTTAAATTTTTTATATCGATATATCGACATATTGGTATATCCTATCTGTGGGCCGTGTTTGTCTGATCTGTGCTTGCTGCCATCAAATCAAATCAATCAATAATGATCATTTGTACATTATGCGTTTTATAGTTACGACGCTTTCAATGTTTTCATTTAAAAATGTTAAATTAAAACAGATTTCAATGAGTTAAAATTTATCAGTCGTAGTCAATGTTTATAAACCTTTAAAAATGGAATATTTTGGAGATCAAGAGAATGACTACCAGCACGTAATTGATACTCTGATCCAGGCCTTTGGACAAGTGTTTAGTAAGGATGTGATTGCTGCAATAGTTGAAAGCTGCGGCGGTGATTGTAAGTGTCGTAGGTAGTTATTGATGTTTATAAATGTGTTAAACATTTAAATTAATGTGTAATATGTATGATTATAAAAATATTGAACTATTTAGTAGTATGCTAGAAACAATTGCGCGCCATTTTTGTGTAGATGTGATGTGATACGTTGGTTATTGATCGAACCTTGCTGCGCTGTGAGCTTTGCGTCGATAAGGTCTACGTCGTATTATTGTAATCAACTGCGTAATTTTTTTAATAAGATGTTTCGTCAATATCGCTTTGAGCATTATTTCTTTTCTTTATGCTGTAAAGTATATTTTCCAACAACAGAATAAAGGCAGAAAACAAGAAAGAATAGCTAAAATGTGCAAAAAAAAAAAAAATCAAAACAAAAAAAAATCTATCAAAAAGTTCTATCAATCTTAGCATTTAAGGAGTGCTTTAATTTCACGTGTATAAAAGACGATGCTCTCGATGACTCGTAATTTTTTCAGTCATGTTTTATTTATCTATTTTAAATATATAGTTGAATTAAACCTGGACATGCTTTGCTGTTTTTCATTTGTGTTGGAAATTCGGAATAAACATTATTTAAAAACTCCCTTATTCCATTAGCTATATTGTGAAAAGATATCAAGTTAATCCGTATGTACTAATTTTTGAGTTTTGTGGACAAAACATACTAATGCTAAATTTTTAAACAAATATTATGAAAAGAAATAGTGTTCTAGTGTAAAAAACACAATCTTAAAGTATTGCCAATACTTCCTTCATACTCCGATGTACATATCTAGCTCTAAAACAAACATGTTCCGTTATTAATCTTAGCTGAATTTTTTAGGTTACTAGAAGCATTATTTTGAATTAATAACAAAACAAGATTTAACACTTGAACTTGATTTAACGTTGAAAAATTTATTTTTAATTTTCTATTAGCATACTAATTCAAACTCATGGCAGCTTTATTTTAATTTGTATTTGTACATACTTTAACTTTTAACACACAGTCTAAAACAAATGAACACTAATTAATAATTTTATTTAACAGTGAATGAATCAGCTAATGCAATCATGAATATGGATGATGATAATATAAAACAGGATGGTTATCAAGCTCAGGCCACAATAAATGAATCGCAATATCATGCTACAAATCAACAGCCTGCTTGCACAAGTCACGATGTCATGAATGTAAATGATAATTTTCAAAGTTTTAATGACTATAGCATTGAAAATATTGAAAGTGTCCACCAGAATACAACCTACAAAATACAAGATCATGTTGAAATAATGGCTGAGGCTATTAAGAAGTATGCAGCAAATCCAAGTAATAGTTCAGCCAGTAATCCGATAAGTAGTTTCAGAACAACCCAAAATTTATCAATGTTTTCTCCTAAAACTGATTTAAACTGGACTCCCCAAATAAGGGAGATATTGATGCAGCACAACAAAGGGAGTAGGATATTAATTATAATGAGAGGAGCTCCTGGAAGTGGCAAAAGTCATTTGTCCAAAAAGATTGTTGAAATGACAATTGGTGCTCAACCATGTGATTATAAAAGACATATTTTAAGCACTGACGACTTTTTTATGTTGAGAGGTTCTTACAATTTTGACAAAACTAGGCTTTCATATGCCCATCAATGGAACCAAAATAGAGCCAGTACAGCAATGAGCAACGGCTTGAGTCCAGTAATAATTGATAATACCAATATAGCAGTATGGGAAATGGAGCCGTATATAAGGAGTGGTGTAGAAAATGGTTATTTGATAGAATTATTAGAACCAAATACTCCATGGGCAAGAAAAGTAAATCAGCTGGCAAGAAAAAATATTCATGGTGTACAACCTCAAACAATAAAAAGAATGCTAGATAATTTTGAATATGGTATAACTGGTGATTATTTAATTAATTTCTATAGATTGTCATATCCACAAAACATGACTCCCCCCTATCTTAGAAATTTACCAGAAGTGCAACAAGATATATTGCCTGTAAAAATGTCTTCAAAACCGACACTAATAGATATAAAGAATAGAATTACTGTATCTACAGAGGAAAACAATGATGTGTTAATGAATGAAAATAAATCTGATAAGAATCCAGAAATCATATGTAAAAATTTACCTTCTGAAGGTTCTGAAAACCTTAATGAAAGTAATGAAGTTAAGTCAAATGTTTATGGTGAGCCGGAAACTTCCAAAGATAATCCCCAATTACAGCATTATATAGAAATGGAAAAGCAATTAGAAGAATTTGCTAAAGTTGAAGAAGAGTGGGAAAAAGGGGAAACATGGTATGACGATTCACAGACTGCCCTAGTTAATGTAACTGGAGAAGATCATTTGGATAATTACCTAAAAGAGTCTAAGCCTCAAAGAAAAGGCAAAAATGAACAATCACAGTTTATTAATTCAAAATCTGATGAATTAGAATCATATGATTCGAACTCTGAGAAAATTAAATCTAGTAATTCAGTTTGTGAAAAGTCAGCATTAAATGACTCTGATTCTGAAAAATTATCAGAATCTCCCGATTCTAATAGACCCAATATCGAATGTTTCAAACCCACTGTAGAAAATGAAGAAATAGTATCAAATGAAGAAATTATGTATGTGGAGTCTCAGGATTGGACAAAAATATCGATGTTCATGTCACCATGGGAAAGCGAAAGTAAGTCGGACGATATAAAATCAATGATTGAAGTTGAGAAAGTTACTAGCAGCACCTGTGTGGAAGTCGGTGATACAGATATAATGAATGCAACAAAACCGTACAAAATATTGGCAACTACGTCAAGAGATATAAATTTAAATTGGCACATAGCATTATGTGAAGAGAAAATTCCTGAAAAGCGGATGTTGGATAAAAGTACTATGACAAATGAACAGGCATTAACTGAACTTGTTCGATGCAAAAATGAAGAAAAACACTTCATTGCCTTTAGAAAAATGTTTAAGCACATAGGAAAGTCTGATTTAAGGGATGTATTTGATCGTTGTTGTGGAGACGTAAACTGGGCGGTGAGTATTGTGCTTGATGGAATGGCTACCAAACAGTTATCAGTTGTAGATGACGATGATTTGTCTGCATCTGATGATGAAATTACAGAGCAGTGCGAGTGTTTGGCCGCATATGATATAATACCGGATAAATCAGTACCTAGTGTAAGTACCGATTCAGAATGTTTCTCAGAAAGAATGTCTGTAAATACACCAATTAAACAACGAAGAATGAAAAAAGATGTATCTGAAACTTCTATTGAATTGAAGAAACAAATAGAAAAAAACTTTGTCATACCAGACAATCATTATTCCGAAAATTTTCTCAAGATTAGAAAATTCCGTCGAGGCGAAAAGCACGATCATAAAATCGATGTTGCTAAAAATGCGGAAAACGACGCTAAACCTGCTGAATCTCCTGGGGACGAAGTATTTCCAAGCACTTCTGATGGCGACAATGAAGCTTCGACAATTGCTGATGATAGAATTTATTCTGATACTGAAGACAGCGACGGTGCTAATTCTGACAGTGAATACGTGGAAAAAACTGTTACTGTTGATTTAAGCACTTCGTTAGTCAGTCAACTTGATGAATTTTTTGGTAGAAAAGGCGCCGAGTATCCATCCCATATATCACACAAAGTTAACCTACCAGTAGGTGTCTTGAATGAAATCAACGCTCTGTGGATGGAATCCTTGATGGATCAGTTAGATCAATTATCAAAACAGACTGAGTTTATGATAAAGCAAGATGAAGATTTAGCGAGGTAAATCATTTTATAAATGTTCCTATATTAATATTTCAATTTTAACTCTATTAACTAAAAATATACTTTCAGACAATTAGCCATCAAAGAATCTGAATTAGCCCATGCTGGTAAAGAACCGGAAGTACCAGATTTCAAAGAGATAATGGATATAGAATTTGCGCTTTCATTGTACCAGAAAGATGTGGCGGAATGGCGCAATAAGGAGCCTAATGATCTAGCCGCCAAACTTACGCGGGAAAAGTTATTCAATGCGTTCCCAGATATTCCCCCCAATGTTTTGTCTGAACTATTGATGGCACACAATAACAACTTCGTAGAAACCGTAGAGGTAATCACTATTTTACTTTAAATTACGACTTCTCTTATGAAACCTATAGCACTGCTGGATTTTCCAGGGCCTATTAGTGTCAACGGGCAAAACGGAGGTTCTAGAGAAGAAAAATGGTGTTAACAAATTTATAATGATGAAAGAAATGGAGCAAAAAATGAAGATGGTTCAAGAAGAAAAACAGGTCAGCAATATTATTAAATCTTTTATTATAATAATAACGTTAATTTTCACATTTTTATATTCATAAACTTTTTTAATAACTTTGTTTTATCATCAGATGAAAGTTTTTTTATCTTTATTGATAACTCGGTGAATAGTGGTTGTAAAGTGTTTTCATTTCACTTTCTTTATATGGAATTCAATGCCTGAGAAATGTTGGTTTTAATCATAATGGAATGTTATGTTGAATAACTAAAATAAGAATAATTATGTTTAAAAAATACAAAGTGAGTAGTGAATTCTGTTTCCTGGTGCTTTAATTTTTAATTTTCAGTGTTAGTAGTCTCCGCACTTAAGATGAAACATAAAAATGTGTAGATAAAACTGGCAGTGGCGAAAAATTTTGTAACAATTATATCAAATTATGTAACAATTATAACAATAGCAAAGGCGACATCTCTAGTTTTCAAATATACATTGTGAGAATGTAATTTGAGAAAGTGTGCTTGCTTTAAAGGAAGCGCATCAGATAACGTCACATATTGTTAAAATAGATATTATGCAATGTTCTGCCTGGCTTATGAAGAAGTAATTTGTTCTTATGAAATTTTCATTTTCAAAGAAATCAAAGTTCCTTACCCCTTTGGTAGAAATGTGGCTCGTTGAATAACCCGATATTGCAATGAAGCCTTTCATGACAGTGTCTTTGACGAATAGCCGTAAATCCTACTCACGTTTCGATCCATGAGGGGTGGTCCTTGGTTTCAGCACAGCCTCGAACTAAATAATTTATTTTAAATGAGGCATGAAATTTTTTTTTTTTGTAAAAAGGTGGCAAGCGAACTGGACATCTGAAATAGGGTGATGATGCATTGCCATCTTTTAATGAAGTGGTCCCCGGCTACCTCACTCACCAGACGTAACGCAAAAGTGTTATCCAGCCGTAGAGGCCGAAGTTCTCCGGGCTAGCCTGCCCATTTGTGTAGCAGCAAAGATTATCACTACATAGTATAAAACAAAGTCGTGCCGCTGTCGGTCTGTCCCCATGTATGCTTAGATTTATAGTTTTTTTACTAGATAGAGTGATTCAAGGGGAAGGTTTATATGCATAATCCATTGCACCCGTGCGAAGCCGGGGTGGGTCGCTAGTAACTTATCACTTACTTGCGTAATAGCTCTGCGGCACTAATAATATAATCAAAAGTATCTATTCATTTTTTTTGTTTCGTCTGTTGTTCGTGTGTAACAGTGGTGTTAACACTAACAACAAATCAGCTGGAACCACACAGGAGTTGATGTCCGTAGACATATTGAAGACGACCCGATTGACGTAGTGTATAATGAACGTGCCTCTTGTGCCAGAGCGTGTGGGTTCGATCCCTACGACTGGAAAATATTGTGTACTGTATGTAATGTTATAAATCTTTGATGTATATATTTACATAAAAAAAAGAATGTTAATTATGTTAGCCAGTTACTTACCAGCTTAATTCGGGACTAGTCAACGTTGTTTTAGAATATGTCCTCAAAATGATCAAAGTTATTATATTGTTATTATTAATAATATGTATCAGGTGAAACTCTCGCTTGCTTGCTACTTTATTACAAAAAAAAAATACAATTCCCGTGCTTGCCCTATGTTGCATATTTTGCGTAGCCCTTAAAACTCTGCCCAGTCATTTTACACGCTTTGTCTCCGCGCTCAGGCTTTGTCCGAAGTCGAATGGCCGCTTTTGCCGCCAGTTGAGAATGTGGAAATGTCTGTGGTCAACAAGTACCGCAAAGAGGCAGAAAAGCACCTAGCGAAGAGGAACATGTATGTACTATATATTTTTGTTATCAAATTCTTTTTTGTTTATTTTGATTTTTTATTGTATTTTTATGTTGAGTTATTATTAGTTATTTTTCGTAACCGGTTACTTAGGTTACCCCTGCGTTGCCAATTCAACGACAATGATTTCTTTAGTTGCTTCAACTGAGAATTGAGAAGTGCAAAATAGTTGTATTAAAAGAGTTTACGTCTCGCCCGTTGTGCGATTGTTCTCTCCTATTATGTTCGACTAATACACTTTGTTCTATTATAGTATATTGGAATCACCAATTGGAATATTAATAGTATTGTAATAAATAAAAACAATATTTTATGAACATTTATTATTACTTCCATTTTATTAAGAGGGCTGGATCTCGGCTCGATCGGTAGCTGAAGTCTGAGAAGTAGTTTTAGAGTTCTTCTTTTCTTTTTTGGCGGTTTTCAATGAATACGCCAATGGAAACTGTTAATTCTCTAACACTATATATTATAGTTATATTTCAACATATTAAACCAAGCTAGCAAGCATGACATAGCAGTGTGAAAAAGTAAAATAATTTCCTATTTACAAATCTTTCAAAACATAAAGTAAAAAAAAAGTAAAGTAACAGCCTATACATGTCCCACTGCTGGGAAAAGGCCTCCTCTATACAGAGGGTATCAGGGCATAGTCCACCACGCGGCCCCACTGCGGATTGGCGGACTTCACATATTTTCGAAATATGTTTTTTTTTGTTATTTCGAAAATATGCAGGTTTCCTCACGATGTTTTCCTTCACCGCGGAGCACGTGATAAGTCAGCACTTAAAGTTAAAAACTTCATTGGTGCCGGCACCGGGGATCGAACTCAGGTTGCTCGAGTATATTGAATTAAAGGCGAGCGCCCGGACACTGAGCTATCACGGACACCCTTTAAAAAAAAAAAAAAACAACAACATAACCTATTATTATTATTATTTGACCATTGACGTAGACATTAGACATAGACTGTCTAGTTTTAGAGTTGTTAAAAAAATCATTAAAAAAATATAGACTTATTTTTTTTTTTGCGTGTAGAAGTCGTAATTATAGTAAATTAATTATGTCATTAATTTTACAAATTATAAAGCTTCGATTCTGACGCTAGATATGAATATTTATGAATATTTTTAATTTTGACGCTAGATATAAACATAATGTGTCTTTTGATGCAATACAGAAATTCTCAATTAATGTTATAATTTTCTCCTGATAACTGTATAGATAACAAAATTTCCTATGAATTTAAAGTTTTTTATAGTACTAATCTCTGCACTTAGGAATGAAAATTAAATCGTAAATAACAAAGTAGAAAGAAGGTGTTAAGATTTTCGTCTGTGTGGCAATAGGCCGTTTAGCTTATTAGTGGCTAGAGCGTCAGGCCGCGAATGCCGAAGACGTGGGTTCGATTCCCACAGCGGCGACAATCTTTTCGTACTTTTTCTACATGTTTTAAAATTTCCTATCATTATCAGCAGTTACAAGAATTAAAAAATGAATGTTCAATAAAATATTCTGATTGGAAAATGCAGGTTTTGTGTAAAAAAGCGCATGGGAGGCGTAAACGTTCTTAAAAATATTTAAGTTAAAAATGCTCTAATGCTTGGTTGTTTTTAAATTTCAAATACAAGTAAAAAATGATTTTCAAAGAAATTACTTAAGTTAAATACGTAATAACCTTCTGTCACTATGTTAAATTCACTACTTTTTTAAAGCATGCATCTTTCATGTTTCGTCTTATGGGCGCATAGTCAATCAACCAATCGAAAATAATCGTTAAATACTTAGATAACTGTTCAAGGATCTGATGTACGGTTTGAGATTTATTTAAAATGTTGGTATTATGTTTGATTTCGCCAACATTTAGTATTGTGTCCATAATAAAAATCCATAGTAAAAGTGAAGTAATTTTTAATGATAACTAGTTTCAAATAATTAACACCTTTGCCTCACTCACTACATGTAGGGTAGAAATACAAGAAATCTTCTTTACGCCGATAGCTTGTGGGGCCGTGTTTACTTCCTCGTACAAGCCGGCCGATCCTGCTGCAATCTTTCAATGCTTCCAAGGCTTCGGCGGCTTGTCAATGATTGCAGCAATTTTTTCCCAGGATAAAGAGTAACCCGATGTCTTGACCGACATATGGGCTGTTTAATTGCAAATTTCATTCAATCCTGCTCCAATGTTATTGCTAATAATATAAGTTTTGAACGAAATAATAAAAGTATCTATGGATTTTTGCTTAAAACCTCTTTTAAGCCCCATACAGATTTTATGTTTTGTTCTCTCATTGATCCCAACCCGTGGATTCGTTTACAAAATGAGCACGTAACTCGTAATTTTATATATTTATTATTTAATTTATTTGTATAAGAAATACAGTATATTAAACTGATACAAACATAAACTCATAAGATTTTTACCGTGTAACAGTATCAACAATCCTCTGTACATAGTTATAATAAATCACATATTACCATTTAACATAACGAGATGTCCTTGTAAGTTTGTCCCATGTCACCGTCAGAACTTGCACGTGTGATTTTATCGTCTACATTTTAGTTTTAAAACTCACTTAAACTATAAACTCACTTGTTTCGGTTACACACATAACATTGGCCACGGGTAAGTCTATATCCAACTGCTTCTCTTTTCAGCGTGTATCAAAAGGCACGCGAATATATGAGTCGAGGTATGACCGACGTAGCCAGCTACTACTCAGAAGTCGCCGCTTTGCACAAACGTCATTTCGAGTATGCCAATTCGTTAGCTGCAGCTTCACTCATACAGGCAAGTCGATTCCCATATCATCGCGATGCACTCGCTTCGTTCACTCATACAGGCAAGTCGATTCCCATATCATCGCGATGCACTCGAATGTTCGTTCGAGACAGATTGTTCCGGATCTGGGTGTTCGGTCCCAAGGGTTGACGGCCGATACCTAATATATGATAAAAACCTTATATATGATTCACATGATGTGACCACCCCACCTGGGTGGGATAAAGACAGAAAGAAGAATTCTAATGAGAAGAATTCTCACTCGTACCCATACGAAACTGGTGTTAGTAATTTTTGCAACTGGTGAAAAAGGTGTTCAGGCGATTTCCTTTGGCCAATATTTCCTCACAACGAGCCGTTTGTTGTTGTTTTGTTGTAATAGCAAAAGCAGTTGCGTTATGCTTGCGTTTTTACCTTTTCGTTTAAATACATCAGTAGGCGACTTGAAAAGAAAATGCTAGTTGTATTTCTTCCTTTAAATTTGTAGTTGCTGCCCGCGACATCGCCTGCGTGATATTAAAAAAATGTTTTTCCTTTTATCTCATTTAAACAGTGTTTTGAATGTTAACGTTTCGCAGTGTAAACAAGATAATTATCAATTATATTTTATTAATATAAGAGTTTTTTTTTTATAAGATTGACAAAAGAATTAACTCTAAATATTAATTTCTACATATAAGTTGTATAACAATTAATAAAAAGGCTTATATTAACATTTCCCAATAACAGTTAAAATATAAAATAATAATATATAAAATGCAATATATAACTGTTAGTAAAAAAATAAAGGCGTAGCATACTTATTTTAGAAAAGTTAAGTGGGGCATGGTTTGGTAAGAAAATCAGATTACGACCGATTCTCAGACTTACCAAATATACATTTACAATTCCATAAAAATCGATCAAGCCTTTTCGGAGGAGTAATGCAACTAACATTATAACACGAGAATTTTTATATACAGGGTGGCTTTTTTAAGTGTATCCATTTTTTTTATTAAATTCTGACATAAATAATACAGAATAATAAACACATTCTGACATAATAAGACATAAATAATGTTATATAAAAATATTTAAAATCACTCGTAAGTAATTAATTACATTCATTTGAACTTATCTCAAAAAGTGCGTCATTTATACGCAACTCATTTATTTTACGCGCGATCATTCATAACTAACACGCACACAAGTTCGTGTGCAGTAAAATGTAGGTATTTATGAATGACTACCGCATTGTTAACACGTTCTTTTTTTTAGGGAATAGAATGGCTTTTTTTTTTTGGAAAAAAAAAAACTTTGTTTTTTATTTCAATAAACGATTATACTACCGAGTCTGAACCTCCTGTGTATATTTGGGCACTTCTCAAAAAATCCCCCTGTATATAGACTAGGTATGGTTTAATGTTTATTAGTTATAATTGTTACTATATCGAGCATTAAATAGTGTCGCCAGTGGTAACATTAGACTATTAATCGGAAACGACCATTACTCTGACGGCAACACACCGCTATTCGCCAGGTGCACGCAACCAAAAGCCCCGACAACTCCATCGTCGACCTGCACTACATGCGCGTGAACGAGGCGCGCGAGAGCGTCGACCTATTCCTCGACGCGCACATCCAGAAGCTGCAAGAGAGGCAGCGGAAGGGCGAGACGAAGAACCGCACGCTGTTCATAATAACAGGCAGGGGCCTGCACAGCAACGGCCAGCCGAAGCTCAAGCCGGCGGTCAAGAGGAGACTCGCCGAGAGGGGAATCGCGTAAGTAAAGTATCAGCCTATACATGTCCCACTGCTGGGCAAAGGCCTCCTCTGTACAGAGGGTATCAGGGCATAGTCCACCACGCGGCCCCACTGCGCATTGGCGGACCTCACATGTCTTCGAAATATTTTTCTTGTTATTATTTCGAAAATATGCAGGTTTCCTCATGTAGTTTTCCTTACCGCCCAGCGCGTGGTAATTCGGCACTTAAAATTAACTATTTCATTTGTGCCGGCACCAGGGATCGAACTCGGGTTGCTCGACTATATTGAATTAAAGGTGAGCGCCCGGACACTGAGCTATCACGGCTCGCGTAAGTGCACGCTTAACTAGGTCTTACGCAACAGTCTCCGCTGTTGAACGAATGGACGGGTCCGTCCGTGGGGCCATGACTTCACATCGGCGTGATTGTTTTTTGGGCTTGATGAGCCACTGTTGGCCTTAGGGGCCTTTGCAGTTTCGCCGGACTTGAGGTGGCCGGGCACTCGGGGCGTCTAGCCTGAACCTCGGCGTATTATTATTACGCGTTATGGTGACTAAGCTCGAGGGCTCCCGAAGGAGCCTCGGCTCGGGCTGTCACGCTATTATTATCACCGGTTTGTGAGGCGTTTGGCGGCCTTAGGGCGCTTTGGTGGACGCTCCATGGAGTGACTAGGCTCAAGGGCCCTCGAGATTGGGATCTCATCTTGGGCTGTCACTCGATACCCGTTTAACATTCCGATTCGAGGGTGCCCGATAGGGCCGGACCTCGCCTCGATCGGTAGTCATTATCTGACTGGACCGGCGTGAAGTGGAATTGTTATATTTGTGTGTGCGTGAGTGAAGTTGCGGGTGCGCCCTTTATTAAAAGATCAAGAAGAGACTCGTCGAGAGGGGGGCAATGCATCAATACATAACTGGGTGGGGCAATACAACAATCTTCGCCGTTGCACAAATGGACAGGTCCGTCCGGGGAACTACGACCTCACACCGGTGTGAAGTGTTACACTCGTGCGTTTCGTCAGGTGAATGAAGTTGTCCGTGCCCACTTTATTAAAAGGTGCAACGCATCTGCAATCCCACGGTTGTTCCAAATGTCCGTAGGCGGCGGTTATAACTTAAAAATGCGGCCTACCATTTCTCTGGGAGGGAAATTACTATGGCCATTGTAGTTAATAGTCGATTTTTAATTGAAAATTATTTTATGGTTTATTCCATGCTGCATAATTGATTAATCGGGTTTGCTACCGTTGAAAGCTTTGATTTAAACCGCCTTATGAAAATCCTCCCTTATGCTTATTATCCTAAATCTTTCTCCTGGTTCACTTGTTAAAAACTTGGCCTAAACTAAACACACGCTACTTACACTTGCCAAACTTACATTTCACATTTCTGTAATAATGAAATTTTAAGACGCTGCTAAACAGTCGAAACTTTACGCTGTTGACCATAGAGTCTCTATTCGCTTGATGGTCGCAAATCGATGCCTTTCTCAACTCTGGCGCTTTGTTCCTTTCCAGCTTTAGGGAGCGCAACCCGGGCCTGCTCGCGATCAAAGTGCACGCGGGACACCAATTGTCCTATCAGGTTGCCTAGCGGCTAAGAATGTTGGCCGCCTGCCGTTCCCGTTCGCTCGTAGTACGGAATCCGTACTCGTTTGGGCCCGCTAATTGGTACGCGAATTGGTACGCGAATTGGTATGCGAATTGGCGCGCAAATTGGCACGCCGATTGGCACGCGATTCGGTACGCCAATTGGTACGCGTATTGGTACCATTATTTAAACCCATACTATTATTTTTACTGGTACTAATGACTGTCACCGACGCAACGCAAGAAACGTTGCCGATATATAAAAAATGTGAAGATCGTCATTGTCATGAAATATTGTGTCGATGTTTATACGCGCGCTTAATATTGTTTATACGCGCCTTAATGTATATATATTTCTTAATTGTTTGGTCGATGAATGTGGTCTAATAATGGTGTCAATTGAAGCCTATGCAGTAAGTTAGCATTGATGCGTATGACTTTGTGTCACGTCATGAACTTGTACATGATTCGCCGTAATATTGTCGCTACTTCCGAAGAATCTTACAGCTTCTCTTCGCTTTTGTATAAAATAATAAGTATCGCCTAGTTTTAATGTGCCATTTGCATGTCTGTCATATTAACGATCACACTAAGAATTTCAGTCTCAATATTGTTAACTGGGGGTCCATTGGCAAAAGAATTTAAAAATTGTGTCCGGCCCTGGGTGTCTTATTTCTTAGGTATTAATGCTCAAGATTAGACAATAATAGACAAATTAATTATACGGGTATTTACCTGTTTATCATTAAATCGATACTGAGGAATTTCTTCTTGATAACATCAATGTAAAGCGGACATATTTTCATAATTTATTTGGCGCATTTAGACTAACTGACTGAATATTTTACATTTTTCACTATTTTTGTAATGTTGTATTAAATCTCTCCTTCTCTTTCTTATGCACATATCCCACACTAAGTGTTCCTTCCACTGTCCTACAACAGTCGTCATCTAGATACTCATCCCTTTCGCAGACATATCATTCTTCCTACACATTCCATCCAAATAATACTAGGTCTAGCTTCCAACTTTCCAACCACATCCATACTCATATCTCTTCTAGTCACATGACTCATCCCTTCTCATATTCTGCCCATATCATCTCAACCCACCACTCGTTATTTCCTCAGCAACTTGGTGCTACTTTCATACTTCCCTAATACACTCATCATCTCATATTCATGTGTTCATTCGTATGAGCCTTTCGGAGTCCGAGATTCTTCTGAACGTACCGACGATGTCTAGTTTCATATAAAAATTGGCGTAATTTTTTATTAAACTAAAAAAAAAAATTCTAGTGATAACTCGGCGAATTTACAGCGCGAAAGCGCAGCCTTTGTGAGCTAAGTCTTTTTTTGTTATTTAATGATTGTAAGGAGACTTGGTCTCATTAATTGAACTTAGATAATATTATGAGACTGACAACGAAGTCCTATTGCATAGGTGGTGTGGAATGGAAAAAGACATGTAATATATTCATACTTCTGTTTGCACATTTGTAAATGCCATTGAAACATCCGATGAATGTTTGTTGTATTTTTTTTACTTTTTTGTGACGATTTCATTTTTATATTATGAATGAACAAATTATCTTGCCCGGTTTTTTTAAATCACCAGGGTATTTTTGCTCAACTTATGTAAGTCGTTATACTTTAATTTTCGTTTTATTCGGTATAGTTTTAAAACTTAACGTTAGTTTTATAACTGTGATTATGTTACGGTTACCGTTACTTTTCTGTTTATTTTGAATATAATTACACTTTTTTTTTATTTTATTACAATATCGACATTCTCCAACGAGTTGTGAAAGGTTATGGTTATTTAATAATTATTATTCTGCACATCGTTAAGAAACAATTTGAACCAAAAGTAGAGATATTATTATCATAGAGTAAATTTTGTTTTACATTGGTAAAGACATTTGTTTATTATAATATTTTTTGTAATAATTTAAGAGTGAAGACCAAAAATTGGGTATGTTTTCTATGTGTATAGGTTACCATGTAAATAAAGACAATATGATGATAGAATTTGGCATATCGTAACATGTATTTATCGATTATCCCGCCGATTATCACGTCCAGCGGTTTTAGATTAATATATTGTTCTATACTATGCTTATTTGCTTTATTATTTGAGTTGCTAAACAAATGAAATATTTTTTCATGACGTACCTTTCTACAACATCCTGTATTCACTGTACCGATTGTAATGCACATTACTTGATCAATCATTTATATAAAATGCGACACAATAACATTGATCTTGGCCTGATTTAGAGTTAGTAATGAGAACTACATTTTACAATAATTATTAATTCATCTTTTGAGTAGTCGATGTTCTTCGCGTCGTATAAGTCTATGATAATAATAATGACCACCTGTAATTCGCTAAAATAAATATTGTACATCGACCTTTGGAAAGAGTCAATCGGCTAACTTCGGTTTCGGTTTTGTAGAACTTTGTCTCTGTCACACACTACCAATACGACGTTTGCCAGTCGTACAAGTGTGCGACAGAGATAACGGAATACGAAGCCGAAATTAGTCGGCTGTCTCTTTCCAAAGGTCGATGTTCAATTTTTATCACCGAGCACTGTAGCAATGGTTCATCATTTATGTGCCAATTAGTTGCTTGTAGTGTTGGTGTTTAACTTTCACCGTACTAGCGGTAAGTAGTAACTTAGTGAGTTTAATTCGATGTTTACCCGTAAATGTAAGGAAACTGTGACCATAATATTAGTACGTAGATAGAATAAGTTGCCGCTAAATTACGGGAGTCCGGAGTCGAGATATGTTGGAATAATATTATGGCTAAGTCGAGCTTCAAGTAGATATGTGTTGTAGACGCCTAGCATTAGTGTAGTTTTAAGGGAGTCTTTAAAACATTCTTTTTAGAAAACTCTTCTAAAATAAGCCGCCTAACTTGTTTATATTCTTTACATTTAAATTTTATATACAATTTTTACGCGAGTAGTTGTTTTTTTTTTGTATTATGATGACATTTTGGACGAGCGCGAGGCATTTTGAGGGCGAACAAATGTCAAACAAAACTTGCTTGCAGATTACAATAAGGTTCAGATTACGGAACCTTTCAGTCCAATGAATCATATATTTTGTATACATACGTTTTTATAAAACCGTCGGAGAGCTTGAAATAAATTTTACAACGTCCTCTGCCAAGAAAGACCAAGGTGCTCAAAGGTTTATTTTATATAAGAAATCTCTTATCCCTACACATTTTCGATATTGAACACTTTAATTTATCTTCATTATATTCTACCAAAACAAAAAGAAAAGTCAATTGCCCACATTTCTTATATAAAGTAGTGAATATGACACTCGGTTAGTGCGGTATCAATGTTACTTGTCTGTAGATTGTAGTGACTTCATAGAAACTTTGTAGATATTGTAATGACCAGTTGTAATAATCGGTGTTGTTTGTATCTTTGATTAGATGTAGAGTTAACATCCCATTTCTATTGCATTTGAATAATTATCTGACCGATTTGTCCATTTATTGATACATTAAAACGTATTAGTTTGTTTTAGCATGTCGTTTTCGAAATTTTATTTTTTTTATACTTAAAGTATAGATAGTGACTAGTCTTTGGGCGATTTGAAATCAGCGTGCAATTTATTTGTGCCTCTTATGTAGTTTATATTGCTATTGAATATTATTGTATAAATTTATGGGATTCATTTTTTCTTATTGTAACAATTATAACGAATAGTGTTACTTAACGCTAGTAGTCCACATCTTTTGTTGCTTGTATAGCTAGAAAGTCTAGGGTTAGGATAAAAGCTACGCTTCCACGCCAATTTTATATTTAAAACATTTTTTTATAGTTATTTGATACCTTGGCAATATTCAATGATATTCTCCAATGCATATGTCAAACATGCTACTGCTTTAATTAACTACTTTAGGTTTCTCATTAGATTTTTTTACATCACTAAATGTATTTTCACTAATTTCATTTGGAAAAGTTCTCGAATACAGGGTAAATAGCTTTTTTTAAGTAACTAAATACACCATGCAAATCGATTAAATATTGGATTATAAAAATCAACGATATTCTCACGACCATTAAGTAAAAAAATAATATTATAGAAATGTTATCTGTTACGCGCAATTTCAATTAATGATGTTTCAAATTTTTCAATACCTACAAAGTCATAAATTTATGGCGGGAAGCGTAGCAGATGCCAGTCATCGTAATGATGGGAGTTCTAATCCAAGTCATCAACCGATATTATTCCGTTTTATACAACACAAACATTAGTTTTATAACACAAACATTAGTACGGATTTTAAGTCCCGTCTAAATTTATAGTTTATCATCACCATTTTATTTTGTACATACTGCCGTGTCCATTTACATATTTTTGTAAAATATACTCGTAAGACACAATTCATTGTAATTAAACATTTTTCTTATACCGTATTCTATTTGCTCCGAATTTACTTGAAATTGGCAAATGTCGATTGGAATCACATATTTTTATATTATTATATCTCAACCTGCACAAAGTATGTTGTCGGTATGTAAGACTCTTATCGAATTTAAAGGGAGGGGCGATGCATTGATTATTTATTATCCTGGATATTTAGATTATTTCGTCTCGACTTTGGTAACTTTCTAACGCTCGGTGTATATTATGTATTTTAAATACTTTCACCTTTAAGTGATCAAAGATCGTTTACTTGAATATCAAATATATAATGTTTAGTGGAATACGTGGTAATCAGTAATTTAATATAACTTCTTTTGTTTATTACGTTTTAATAGTATTATGTTTGTTTTGATGTATGCATAAATTACGTTTCTTTTATTTTTCATTTTATCGATATTACATTAGGAATTTAAGTGCCTGTTCATTTGTTGACGCTTCTGCTCTTTTATCACAAAAATATAAGATACAAAAATATATTTGAGGCTCAAAAATTGGTTTAGGTTTAGCGTATATTGATGTGCTATTATATATTATTCTATCCGTTGATCGTGGCCCTAAAGTGAGGGAGACATTAGATTCTTCTCAACAGGGTTTCAGATATTTAAGGCCTCATATTATAATGTGTTTTCCTTTAAAATGTTATGTATTAAACAAAAACTTGCAGGCATCGATTATGATGCTCGAATGTAAAGAATTTTGTATAATCATACACACATGTTAAAAGTAAGCTATTTTATAGAATTTTTTCTCCAGAGTTTACTGTTTTATTCTCACAGGAATTAGATTGCAAAAATGATTTAATAATTTTTTTCCCAATAAAATGTCTGCTTTATATGATTTATGAATTTCTGCTATCATATTTCATATTAGTCACTATATAAATGTGGTGCTTCTGTCGTGTGCTGTTTATATTATTATTTCAATATTCTAGAAGGAGTAATTGTAATTTCTGCGCTGCGCGTCACTTTCCGTTAGAATGTAAGTTTTATTTATAAAATTACAGTGTATATCCGTTTTGGTTGATATAATGACATGCAATTTATGTTAGTGTCAGTATTATTTCTAAACGGGTCGATGTTATGTTGTTATTGTTTCGTTAAGACGCATCAAAAGTTTGTACACAAACGACAGGGTTTAGTGCTTAGTTTTAGTTATTTTTGGTTAATTCGTATTATTTACCGTCTTAGAATTAATATTGGTGTTCGATGTTGTGTAGTAGTCAATTTGATGACAAATAAATCTGAATGTGCCGTACGGGTTTTTCTAATGTATCCTACCTCCAACATTTAAGTTTGTATCAACTCAAATAATCGTGTAATATGTCGAATTACAGGTTCGTTGATTAAATCACAACAGTAAGTAATTAAAATATAGATTATATAAAATTAATAAGATTTTAAGAAAATCTGTTAAGGCATTTTACTATAAATTATTTAGAGATATAATTTTGGTACAATGAAGTAATAGTGATGAGTGTCAAAAATGTTTTTCGATACTAAAATTTTTTTTGACTACCATACATTTTTGTACTCTTCAAACGGCCGAGTAAAATCTTTTCCACGAATGAATGAGTTAAACGCTTTGTTGTGGCAAAATGCGAATAGGTTTCTTTGCGAGTTACGTGGAAGCCACGAACGGATATCGATAAATTTGGAAACGTGCGAAAAGTCCTAAAAATCGGTCTGCACAAGACAGCCCTTTTCCACAGAATGCATTTCGGTGAGTGTGTGATTGGGTTTCAATTTATCAATCAATTAACTTCCCTACCCTTTATCGGAAATCTTTTGTTGTTTTCATTTCATTTGGCACACTAGATCTTGGTGACTTATAGCAATCTAAATCAAAACAATCTACCTACCTGTTTCTTCCCGTTCGAACACAAAGTGGTTGGATTCGAGACGAACCGTATTAGGCTGTATCGCCGCTACCATCATGTAATTATTTCGATCAGAATTTTTGTACAGATTGCGTGTAACTTGAAAACAACATCTTGATATTATTTTTTTACGTTTATATGTCCTTTATGCGTTTCTAAATTATGTTGAAACTTTGGTATTTTCCACGTAAGCCTGTGAAGGATGTTTAATCAAATAGAAGAAGCTAAGAGAAGTGTAAAAACACTTGTAAGTGAGATCTTTCATAGCTCAGTATGTGGGGCCTAGCTTTTAGTTAAATATACACGTACTCGAATAAAATGAGTTCACATCCCGATGCCGGCACAAATGAGATTGTTCATTCAATTTTAAGTAAAAAATTATCAAGTGCTCAGCGAATATTTTTTAGATGGTAGTAAAAATACTTTGAAGATACAGGGTGGCTAAAGGTGCCCAAATTCACACAGGAGGTTCAGACTCGATAGTATAATCGTTTATTGCAATAAAAACATTTTTGTTTCAAACAAATTTCCATTCCATTCCGTAAAAAACAGAATTGTCGACAATGCGGTAGTCATTCATAAATGCGTCGTATACTTTTGAAACGAACTTGTGTGCGTATTAGTTATGAATGATCGCGCGTAAAATAAATGAGTTGCCTGTAAATCACGCACTTTTAGAGATAGTTTCAAATGAATGCTAAATGCATTAATTAGGAGTGTTTTTAAATATCTACCATCCTTATTTCCATGACTCCGCTGTCTGTCTGTCTGTCTGTCTGTCACCAGGCTGTTGTATCTCATGAGCTGTGATAGACAGGTGAAATTTTCACAGATAATGTATTTTTGTTGCCGCTATATAAAGAAATACTAAAAAACAGATATAAATAATATTTAAGTGTGGTTCCCATACGGCAGACATGGTTTTTTTGCCGTTTTATAGATAATTGTATGGAATCCTTCGTGTGCGAGTCGGGCTCGCACTTGCCCGGTTTTTCTCTATTTATAGCATGCCCCTGGGGCCATGTAATGAGGAATTTTACACCTCTCGTTTAAAGATGGTATAACGTAATCTAAAGTATAGGCATATTGTGATTTCTTTTACTTGAAAAGTATGCAAATAAGTAAGCGGTTAACTGATAGGAAGTTTGGCTTGTCGGTCATTTACTGGCGACAACTGAGATGTTTCAAGCGACTTGCCTTATTAGGCATTGACATAGGTCCATTGACCTGTAAAATTACTGTCCTGATGAAACTCAAAAGTAGAATTAGTTTTATTCTAGACCGGTCTTATGTGACGCCGTGAGACTTCCTCGGTCGGAGCTGACCAATTCATGTAGAAGCTATTATATAAACAGTTAGTCTAGATTATTAATCTATGGCGCTACGATGAAATCCTACACAAGTATTCTGGCTTCTAAATGATTACGAATTGACTGATTTCGTCATGAAGCGATCATTTGCTCAAATTAATGAAATCGTAATAAACTTCCTTAGTCTATCCGGAATATTATAGCCCTAATCTAATAATGTATTTGCCAAGGCCAGTAAGCGGAAGAAACGGTGTTGAAAATGATTTAATATTTAATATAGATATGAGTCAGCATTGAGAGAGCGCAATCAAAATCACAATAGATTATTCTATATGTGATCAACGGATATTATGTGACTTTTTTTTTATGCGAAAAGTTGTCAAACGAGCAGACGGTTCACCTGATGTTAAGTGAATACCGCCGCCCATGGACATCTGCCACACCCAAGGGTTACAGATGCGTTGACAACCTTTTGAAAATTGGGCTCCGGCTACCTCAGTCACCAGACGAAACGCGAAAGTATTTGTCATACTTCCACTTTACGCCGGTCTTCTGTGACGTCGTGGTACTGACCCGGACGGGCCTGCCCATTCGTGCAACAGCCGAGGCTGCTGCGTGGCCCTACCACAGTAAAATTACTGACCGTACTGACTACTGTACTACAGTGACTGTCACGAAGTAGACCAATTGTTCCTTTAAATTTAATTTTTTTTATTGTGTATTTAATTTTTTTTAAAGCATATGTTTTTGTTCAAAACTAGATGCCGTAAATGCCATTTTTAAATTGATTATTACTAGCGCTAATAATAACGTTATAAATAAAATGTATGTGTCGAGAATTCTATTGAGTTGAATGGTTATTGCCTCCGGGCGCGCTACTTGGAAGACGCAGGGTCGAATCTCGCAGCGACGAAGAGCTTTCGATTAGTCTATCTACATTTATACACATTTATGATTTCTATTGATCGCGTTTGATAAATTTCGACGTATATCGTTGTATTTAAAAAGCGCTGAAGGTTTTTTGTGCAATCCTCTTACACAATAAACTTTGTCAAAGCCAAAATAGTATTAGGGATTTTCGTGTTAAAGATAACATGAGATTAAGGTGTGACGACATAGACGTCGTTAAATATACGATTTATATCACATAGGCAATATAAATGCAGTCTTTTGAAAATTAAATTAAAATGTAATTTAATGTTGCCCCAAAGCACAAAGTCGATTGTTGCTGGCATTTACATAATAACTCTGATTTACTTTAAAGGAAAGTTGTAGGTTGAAGGTGAGTTAGTACTTTTGTTCGTAATTAAAGCTAAAATTGTTTTTGTTTCAGATTATTCAACGGCTGGTATTATAAACTAACCGGTTCCAGTAGCTTAAAAATATCCTTCACTCCGCTTTACACACAAGATGCTAGGGTTCCGTAATGCTAAACAACAACGGGCCGATATTGCGTTTGATATTTTGACATTATTATTCTAATACCTACCGTTAATCTTTACTACAAATGGTTTAAATAAAAACGGTTTAAGTTTCATTATTTTCAAGCAAAAAAAAAAATAAAGTAACAGCCTCTACACGTCCCACTGCTGGGCAAAGGCCTCCTCTGTACAGAGGGTATCAAGTTCGTCCACCACGCAGATTGGCGGCCTTCACATATCGTTGAAATATTTTTTTTGTGTTTATTTCGAAAATATACAGGTTCCCCGTCCACGATGTTTTTCTTCACAGCTGAGCACGTGATAACTCGCCACTTAAAATTAACAATTTGATTGGTGTTGGTACCGTGGATCGAACTCAATTTGCTCGAGTATATTGAATTAAAGGCGAGCGACCGCCACTGAGCTATCGATTTTCATTATTTTGTAAACAAATTTGGTTTTTGGCATTATTTTCAAATATGCATAATGTCTTTGTACATTACAAAACGAAAGCCGAACCCTCAGTCTGGCTTTGAGGTTGAAACCAGTTATGAATTCGTTCACATGATTTAATTTGGGCACGCATGAATAGGTAATTTGCACGGTTTTTTCATTGAATTTACCTACCTTCAACGTTTGCGCTTCCGCTTAAATTCAACCTTTTTATATCCTTAATAAATTAAACAGGTAACAGATTGCCACTTGTTGTTTTATTACCTTGCATTTTGAAATATCAAAGTGAGAAGGAAATTATGTCTCGAATTTCCTCTGCGGTTTTGGTGTGTTCATATTAAGGCTGTTCAAAATTAATATAGACGACCGTAATCACTTAAAAATTGATGAGAACATGTTCTGATAAAATTTTCAGAAGTTTTCTTTTGTAGGAAAAATATATAATTAAAGCGAAAATGTATAAACATTGTATGTCTGAGATCATACTTTTATATATAGTTAATAACAATCCGAAAGTGGTGTGAGAAAATAAAACTAACCTTTTCCAATTTTTATATCGTTAACACTAAAGCTTGTGAATAGCTACTAATAAAAGATGAAGATCGGTTGACAAACAGAAGAAAGAGCTTAACTGACTTGTTTTTACCTATTTAAGAATAAATTATTATCTATTTTTAAGCCCGTGATGTTCATTGAGTAGGATTTAAGTCTCACAAAAATCTACTATGGCTAAGAATGGAATCTACATACACACTACGAGGCCACTGTAGATTAACTTATAGAAAAAGTATGAAATGCTTTCAAATTTATGGGCACATTTATATTTAAATATATTCAATCATGTCGTTAGTACTTTGTAATACCTAAACCATCACAAAGGTTCATCAATTTTACTATATTCTATAATAGTTATCTAAATTATTCCTTCGCGTACCTATATATATATCGTTTGAATTTTGGATGGAAACAGCGTTTACCTACTGCTAAACTATGAAATATTCAGCAGCGGAGGGAAATTTAATAAAAATTTCGTATTAATCAGGTTGTTTTAAAGTATAGGAAAAAAAGTGTTCTGAACAAAATGTTTTTAAAAGTTTTAGTTTGTTAAATATGGGTACGTACCTACCACTATCTAAACTAAACTATCAAAGGATCTTATTAATATCATATTTAATTGATGTAAATAATAAAAGAATTTCTTGCTTGCATGGAAATTATTATATAAGTATTTACGCAAGCATAACTTAGAGTTTATCGGACAATAGAAGCAAGTAGGTACGTGCTCAATTTCGGAACATTGTTCTAAGCCCACGCTTACGAAACTGCAAGGCATTTTGAATTGGTCTTGGACATAAGGCCAAGTTTATTTAACATGTTATAACTGTTGTAATATATTGCAGGTTTTATTTTAATTACCTATAAACTTCGCTGTTGTACCTTGTTTGGACTGTCACTCAGTGTATATATCGAAATTCCGTATTTGCTAGGCATTTTGATTTTTTTTAATTTCGAAATTTCCTGCGCCTGTTGGACCAAGAACGAACCGTTTTATCTAATTTCTTTTTTAACTCAAAATAAGCTTTCGTTTATAAATTGGTTCATAAAATCATTAACAAAATATGCGTAGTATTTAAAAAACCGATGCCTGATATATAAAGATACTGAAGATCCCTTATAAACTCACAATGTATAATGATTGTCTAAAATGTAGTCCATCAAAATACAAAAGATCTAACGACGCATCTACTAAAACGCTACGATCTCAACTAATAAATTAAATTCTGTTTCGCACGCCTCATTATTTCGTTACGTGTAAATTTTATCAAAATGATTTTTAATTATTTCACGCTATGTTCGAAAATCGTGCATTATATATCCTTTACAAAATTATCAATTGTATGTTCATAATTATCAGCTGAATTCCATTAGAATGTGCTCGTAGGTGCCCCCGCATTAGCACTTGGTGTTGCAAATAAAAATTGAGTAATTACGTTAAAAAGGAAACAGTGCAACGGCTTTCAGTGTCCTCGATTCGATTTGTTCTACATTTCTAATTTATAGCAAATAATATTTAGTTACCCATAAAGCTTACGTAAGAACGAAGAAACTTTTATTGTCATATGGTGCAATAATTTTTCCACAATGCACTAAACTCGAATTACTTTTAAAAGGATCATTGAAGATATTAACTTGTTAAGGTTGCTTTTATAATTATATTTAATCAATTATAAAATGTTCATCGTTTTATTAGGCTAATAATATGATGCAAAGCCTTTGTAAAGGTGGCAACCGAGCTGGCGGTTCACCTGATGTTAAGTGATAACTGCCGCCAATTGACATTTGTAACACCTTAGGGTTGCAGATGCGTTACTACGTTTGAATAAAGTGGGCCCCGGTTACCTCACCCACCAGACGAAATGCAGAAGTAAAACACTTCCACTTCACGCCGGTCTTCTGTGAGGTCTTGGTACCCGGATGGTCCTGCCCATTTGTGCAACAGCGAAGACTGTTGCGTGGCCCTAACCACAGCTACACATTAACAAACGTACATTTAAAAATGCTCCTATTGAGGTTTAGAAATCTGTTATATTATAATGTCTTTTAATATAATAGTTTATATTTTTTTACGTACCATTCAACCCAGTTTTATGATACCTAAACGATATAAAAATCTTGATATTGATGTGATACTTACTTTAACCTAAGCTAAGCTAACTTAACTCGTCGCTTTCCGACGAAAAAAGCGAAATATCGTGAGAATGTATCATTTTGAAATACTATTTATTTCAAAATGATACTTTTTAAACAACACAATTGTCGTTACCTTTTTGTCTCTATTACATTAATCCTTAAACTTAAGACACACAACTAGACCGGCGGCCACTTGATTTTTTTGATAGCATAACGACGTTTTAACTTTTCGTTTGACTTTTATAGCGACGAAATATATATTTAACCGGGCCGTCTCAAGGTCCGTGTGGTCTATGCTAACTCTACGTAATAACAAACGGAACAAAATGAAATTGAAAGGCTATCACTGACTCACAGGCGTATGCTTTGTACCCTGAGCTTGCTCGCCTTGACAATGAAAGTAAAGTGGACTGCGCGAATTGAAGCAGTATAAAAACCAGAACACTCCATACCAAATTATTCAGTTGCCACCATTAAACCGTATCAACATGTTCGCTAAGGTGTGTTTAGTGTTATGCAAATTCTTTTAATTTAAATTTTTTTTATTGTTATGGGCAGATTCAAACTATCAAGATATTAGTAAGAGTAAAAGAAGTAGAGAATTCCTTTTAAAAAAATTAAAGAAATCAAAATAATTATTCTAGTGTTATAACAGTAATTATAGTGAAATGTAGGAAATTATACAAATGATTTTTTATTTACAGGCTATTGTCGCTCTGTGCGCTATAAGCGCGGCTCGCGCTAGCGGTATCTTGGGCGTTGCCCCAGCGGCGTACAGCAGCCACGCCATTGCTGCCCCCGCTCTTGTGACCAGGACCATCACACCCGCCGTTTCCTCTGTGTCCTCCTACTCCACCCAAACCGCCCACGCCGGTCCCATCGCCACCTATGCGGCCGCCCCAGCGATCGCGTCTTACGCTGCTCCCGCCATCGCAGCTCCAGTCGTCGCTGCCGCCCCCGCCATCACCACAAGCTATGCCGCAGCGCCCGCCGTCGTTAGCAGGACCATCACTCCCGCTGTCTCCTCCGTGTCGTCGTACTCCACTCACACCTCGCACGGATCTCCCATTGCGACATACGCCGCCGCTCCCGCCGTAGCCACCTACGCCGCTGCCCCCGCAGTAGCTTCCTACGCCACCCGTACCATCGCCGCACCCGCCGTAGCAGCATACGCTGCACGTTCCTACGCCGCACCCGCGTTGGCCGCGTATGCAACCCGCTCCTACGCCGCACCCGCTGTGGCAGCCTACGCCGCCCCAGCCGTCGCGGCCTACGCCACCCGCACCATCGCGGCTCCCGCCACCACTTCCTACTCTTCCTACTCTACCCAGACCGCTCACGGCACGCCCGTGGTCGCTAGGGCTTACGCCGCCCCTGCCGTCGCTGCCTACGCCGCTCCCGCCTACTCTACCTACGCCGCTGCCCCCGCGTACTCTACCTATGCCGCGGCTGCCCCTATCCTCCGTTCATCTGTCGCATACTCTGCCGCTCCTGCCGTCTCTCACATCTCCTACAGCGGTCACGGCGCTAACTATGGTTGGTAAACTGAATCTGATTTAATAAAATTGTAAATAGGAAAATGAAATAAAATATACGATGAGCCATAATAATGTACTCGTTTTATTAGATTTCTTATTTCCTTTATTGATACTTTCACGTACTGGCCACTGGGTGAACAATATGTAATGCCAATAGCCATATACAACATGTTTCGTAGGAATTTTTCATATATACACGAAGTCGCCCAAGCGAAGCATAGCACATGGAATGTGTCTTTAAGTATAATACTTCATCTTATTTCAATGCAGCCGTAGTCATATTTCACGGTTTACAAATTTATTGGTCTGTATTGGGTTTAGAATATGTTTATTTAATTTATGTGTGATTAATTCTAAAAATGTGTGATTTACAATGTTGGATTAAAACTTAGATAAAGATCATCATGAAAGGTTTATGTCGTATAACATATTTTTATTCGTTTTTACGATTTTTATATTATGAAACTCCACCGACCTGTTACACTTAAAGCTAGCTAATATTATAGATCCCTGGATGAAGAATAAATAATTCAGTTTGGAAGACATGTCGAACAAGCCAATAGAGTTAAAACTGAAATCTAACACTTGCTTTCATACGCTTATATTGGGTTTTAATTCTTCAAACATAGGTAATAATTACCCTCAATAGAAATACTTACAACCAATTCTGTTGAATAAAAATTTTAAATTGGTTGTAATTATATGGAGTGATAATTTCATCTTGGATGTTGACTTATTGCTTTTAAACGTATGACATTTATTTCTACAAGACGGTCGCCTAACACGTGGACCGCCTCTGCCGTTAGTATATTTAATGTTTATTTACTCGCATGACAGATATAGTTATTAAAATAAAGCTTATTCATTACACCTTACATAAAGTTTTATACTTACAAAAAAAAAAACTGTAACAAATAGAATATATAATATTGAATAATATTGAAACATACAATTTGGCATAAGTATATGCAGTATGCAACTGTTCTTGGACATATCAATTGAAATAGATAAAATATGCCATTACAAAATTAAAATGATTACTTTTTGAGACATAATTTTGCGGCGATTAATAAAACAGTCAAATATGAAAAAATTTAAAAAATTGCGTATCGCATACAGAATGAAACACAGGGAAAGCCGTAATTTTATTTTTTATAATCATATTTTAATCAAGATTGCCGAATTATAATCATTGTGTTATCCATCTACGATCTGACAATTCTTTTCTTGAAAATATTTTAATTTTAATTGCCGTTCTCTGAAAAGAACAGTTACTTCATATTCCGTAATGCGTACAATAAAGTAATGGAAAAAGATTATCTGTTCTATCCAGATCGTAACAAAAAAATATTGCCAAAATCGATGCTATCTTATTTATTTTTGCAAAACCTGGATGCTTCGAACCAAAACATAGCATTCTCAAATATGCACAACGACTCAAGCATTTATGTATACAATTAATTGCTTAAATATTGCATAGCGAGTCGCACAGCGCACTGACCCAAGTTATGGACAACCACTATCGCTCCCTTTTGTAATATTAAAACGTGTCGTTTAACAAAAGTCGATCATTATTTTAATAAAGTAAAGCTACTGTAGTACCAGAGTTTTTAATTTGCGGCGATGAGAATTCATAACGTAGATCCATTACTATTACCTTAAAACTGCCATTTAAATTTGAATGCTTGAAAAATTTGAATGAGCCAGACTGTGATAAATCAGAGTTTTTCACTTTAGCACCTAACAAAATATAAACCACTTCGTACACATTCGGGAGGCAAGTTTATCCTTTTATTCACCTCATTATACTTTATAACTGCCACCCATTGGTGTTGGCAATACCTTAGATATTCTAGGTAGTAGTGGTAGTGTACTATCAGCCTTATGTAGGTCGGTTGGCTTATTCCTAGAACTGTATATGTACAAAATACTTAATGTATATGTACAATACTTAGCTGCATATGTACAAATATTTTTACCATACGAAAGGTTTAGTACTTCCTGGTTTGGGATAACACATTTTTGAAGATGGCTGACGCTAACAAAAAAGTCCATCGCACATTATCATTGCAATTAATTTCCTAAAAAAATAACAGTCTATATATCACCCACTGCCGGGCAAAGGCTTACTCTGTGCAGAATGTATTAGGAAGTGGTCCACCGTGCGACCCTGTAGCGGATTGGTAGAATTTAAATATTATCAAAATATTTTTTTTGTTAATGTTTCCAAAATATACAGATTTCCTTCTCATATTTTCCTTCACCGTCGAGCATACCTTATGATTAATTCAAGAACTCAATTTTTTTATTACAACATAAAACCTAAGAAAAACAAGAAGATCAAAAGAAAACACAGACAATAAGTTTGATAAATTTTTGCTTTAACTATTATCTTCTTCTTAATCGGACACTCTTGGCAGAGTGGCGTGGATGGACAGGATTGCGTCTCGTCGTCGCTTCCAAGGCAGCCGCACTTCTTGCGATGTTCCTCAATTGGAAGCGGCTGTTAGCAATGCGAGCACATTGTACTGCGGTGGCTTTCGTAGTGCTAGTGATGAGGTCAATCCAGCGCGTTTGACTATTATAGGAAGGTTATTTTTAACTAACATTCTCGTTCGAAAATCACCTTCACATGGCTCATTTTACGTTTACGTCTTGATTATCCACAGAAAACAGAATAGAAGTATGTAAAAGGCCGGTCTTTGATACAGGGCTGATCCGAGCAGGCGAGTAGATACTCAAAATGATGGATGCGGGAGATCAAAACGTGTTGTGCGATGTGTCACTCACCTTGTCAGCTGAAAAATGGGGGAGTTGCAGCAGGAAAAGAGTACCAGTGTTGCGTAACCCACTTTCCATTCACTTACGGGACTAAGCAAGTAGAAGAATTAGGCTATACATGTGTGACTGGGCAACGGCCTCCTCTGTACAGGAGATACGCGAATTGGCGGACTTATATCTTCTTAATGTTTTATTTGTTATTATTTCGAAAATATGCAGGTTTCCTCACGGTGTATTCCTTCACCGTTGAGTACGTGATAATTCAGCACTTAAAATAAACAATTCCTTGGTGCCGGCACCGGGGAAAGAAGACAGGTTGCTCGAGTATTTTGAATTAAAGGCGCGGACGGACAATGAGCTATCACGGCTCTGACTAGCCAAAATCGCTCCATAGATGTGGGAAAATGAGATAAGAACACTAGGGAGGGAAATAAGTTTTGGTACACTTTGGTTTTCTCCACATACATTGACGAAATTTTTTGCGCCTTAGAGCCATAGATTTTATACACGAGTAAAAGATTTTTAGTGCAAGCACACCATGTACTCCACCAATATGATGATCTGTAGGCAGCTGCCTCGGAGATCATATTGTCCGTGAAATTGCGGTCTAGTAAGAAGACGTGATTCATGTTCCATATTTCAGTTAGGTCGCAAAGAGACATTGTAAAGTGGCTGGCACCGTCGAAGTGGCATATACGCTGTAAGAAAAAAAAGAGTGGTGTAGAATATTAGCATTCCGCTATTCGATTTTCATTTAATTATATGCTCAGCTCCAGACTTATACTTTACTCGATAATTTAATAGTGTGGGGACAAAGTATTTCATCATACTACTTGAGAAACATAATAAAATTTTTATTACAACTAAATTGTAACTACGCAATGAAAGTGAAAGGCTATCACTGATTTTACAGATACATGCTTCTTACCGTGGACATGTTTACCTTGACAATGAAAGTAAAGTGGACTGAGTGGATTCAAAACGTATAAAAGCCGGAGCGCTTCGTACCAAATTATTCAGTTACCACCACTTAAACCCAACAATATGTTCGCTAAGGTTTGTAGAGCACTTTAAAAAATATATTAAAAGCCTAATATCGGGACTGTATGAGTTTAGTAAAAGTGCCGATAGTTTCTTGTTCTGTTTGTGTCATATATATGTTTCAATCAATTGATTTATCTTCTATTTTTTTCAGGCTATCGTCGCTCTGTGCGCTATAAGCGCGGCTCGCGCTAGCGGTATCTTGGGCGTTGCCCCAGCGGCGTACAGCAGCCACGCCATTGCTGCCCCCGCTCTTGTCACCAGGACCATCACACCCGCCGTTTCCTCTGTGTCCTCCTACTCCACTCAAACCGCCCACGCCGGTCCCATCGCCACCTATGCGGCCGCCCCAGCGATCGCGTCTTACGCTGCTCCCGCCATCGCAGCTCCAGTCGTCGCTGCCGCCCCCGCCATCACCACAAGCTATGCCGCAGCGCCCGCCGTCGTTAGCAGGACCATCACTCCCGCTGTCTCCTCCGTGTCGTCGTACTCCACTCACACCTCGCACGGATCTCCCATTGCGACATACGCCGCCGCTCCCGCCGTAGCCACCTACGCCGCTGCCCCCGCAGTAGCTTCCTACGCCACCCGTACCATCGCCGCACCCGCCGTGGCAGCATACGCTGCACGTTCCTACGCCGCACCCGCGTTGGCCGCGTATGCAACCCGCTCCTACGCCGCACCCGCCGTAGCAGCATACGCCGCCCCTGCAGTCGCGGCATACGCTACCCGTACCATCGCAGCTCCTGCTGCTACTTCCTACTCTTCCTACTCTACCCAGACAGCTCACAGCACCCCAGTGGTCTCTAGAGCGTACGCCGCTCCCGCAATCGCCGCTTACGCTGCCCCCGCGTACTCTACTTACGCCGCCGCCCCCGCGTACTCTACTTACGCCGCCGCCCCCGCGTACTCTACTTACGCCGCCGCCCCCGCGTACTCTACCTATGCCGCGGCTGCCCCCATTCTCCGTTCCTCTGTTGCGTACTCTGCTGCTCCCGCAGTCTCTCACATCTCCTACAGCGGTCACGGTGCTAACTATGGTTGGTAAACTGAATCTAATGCAACAATTTGTAAATAAAAAGTAATGAAAATATAATATGACAAAAATAATTAGTTCTTTTCTTTATACCTATACTCTTTATACATAATTACGACATAATTATACTATGTGTATATATGTGCAGTGTACTCATGTTCTACTTGAAATTCCTTTTGAACCATTGCAATGCTTTTTGCTTTGATTAAGCTGATCAAATCATCAACCCATAAGTTTAGGTAACCCAGAATCTACCAATTGAAAAAGCTTATAATGAACCATATTTTTATGTCCCTAGTAAGATATGTAAATTAAATAAGAAACTATTACACAGATTTAACAAAATAACTTCGAAGAATTTATATAGAAAATTGGAAATTAAATTTTACGGATTAACGTAGTGTTAAAAATAATCTAATGGTCTCGTACCCTTTATGAGGTTTCTTATGTAAATTGGTGGATTAGATGTTTTTGACATAACATTTTAAACTTTTATTGACAGCAAAATACATTTGTAAAACCGTTTGCTTTAAAATTGCGTCCAGCTCACCAATCTCGTTTTCAAATTGTTTTATATTAAAAAAGCTAGATATATATAATAAAGCAATACTTATATCATATTAGTGCTGCCTTAACGTTTAAACAGTTAACTTGGAAGGACATTGGGTTAACTAAAACTGTCTTAAAAATTATTAACTATCTGAGATTAGTGACTGATCTAACCTTTAATTCTTCAGAATCGCTTGAATTCAGAGACTTGGATATTAAAGATTATATCAGTTCAGAATGTAACCTCTTTTTATGATAATCACATTTGCCTCATTTGCTACTGTAAGCTCGTTGTAGTAATATACTGTAGGTCATATTACCTTGTAACAAGTTGTCATTTTTGTGCGGTGAATAATATTCCATCGGACCTCTATTTAAGGTACCCAAAGTACGCTTTTCGGTACTCCTAACATTGTAGATATGGATAGCTGTAACGATTCACGCATTTAGAAGCTTATTTAGTTTCAAACGTGATATAGGCAAAGCTATAAACAAAGCGCACAAAAGTTCTTTTGCACGTACTACAATTCGTAAATAGGCTTCATATTACTCAAATGTTACAGCAACTAGACAATCGGTGTCTTTATTTATAATATCATGTATTTTAGAATATAGTGTATTTGTTTATAATCATTAGAAAAATGGAATTTTTAAAATAAAAGGATTTGACATTTTTGAGGCACATTTAACAAGGCAAGTAGATATTTGTGGCACTATTGTCATGTATTCATATCGTTATTATATTAGTGGTAAAACCACTAAGAAAATGTAATTTTTACTTTTATTTAGACAGCGCTATTAAATTTATGTGTGTCTTATAAAATTAATCCCATTACTATGATCGAATGAAGTTTTCAAGTTGTATGGTTTAAGCTTTAGATCTTGCTTGGGTCGACTTCTCGTCACATGTGAACAAAATTGCCTCGGTAAATTACTCCTGAAAATTATGCAACTATCGTATAGTTTTTGGATATAGAAATTTGAATACTGATACTGTATTATAGAGTCTAAGTTACAAAGTAGTCAATCAAATTAACCGGGACATAATGTTTTACTGCAAAGTACCATTTTACTTGTAGATTTCTGTATCTTTATTCTTAAAGAATATTTACTGTATTTTAAGATACCTTATTGTAAATTCTGTCTGCGTCCTATCGCAACGAAACAGTTCCTGAGCAACATCTATTGATCGGCCTCGTTCATACTTGGAGCGACCTAAACGGCTACGTTTGTTACTATGATTGTCATGTAAATTACGTACATAATTATTATTACAATAGAAATGAAGTTAGCTTAACGTAAAGGCAATGGTTGTCGTCCTAATCAGAGTTTCCATCTTGCTGTGTTCCAATACGTCCAGTCGCCTGCCTGACATAAACGCAACAGTACTCGCTATTGCACGAATGGGCAGGTCCATCCGGGGAAGTACTACGACATCTCAGAAGACCAGCGTGAAGCATAATTGTTAAATCACAGGTAAACCAACAACTTTCCTGCCACCTTCTCACATAAAAAAATAAATATAAAACACGAAGACCCGGAACAATATCCATTGTTTACAAAAATACTTGTCTGGTGCGAGAATCAACCCGCGACTCCTGCTTTGAAGCCAACAGTCTGCAACTGGGCCCGACTCGCAGAGACGACTATCGGAATAAGTTCGGTCGACAAATGGTCCCAAATGTTGGTCACCTCGTGTGCCTGGTTCAGATACCTTTTGTTTATGTCATACGGTGTTACGGTCAACATGTTTAGTTTCATTATCTGAGTGATATCCGTCTTCTTAAATCGAAATTACTTAAAAATCTAATGAGTCTGTATTCACAGTGATTTTCAAAGATTTTCTTACAATCTCTTTCCGGTTATTCGAGATTTTATTAAACTTAAACTTAGTATTTAACACTTATTAGAAGTGAATTTGCTACGGTACATAGAGCATAAATATAAAACTTATTTTACCCGTACGAAATCTGAAGTATGGAACAGCCATTAGGAACAGCCATTGGGATTTGAATCTGCGATGTTAAATTAAATGAGGTTTTCTAGCAAAATTCAACATCACTGGATTGTAAATAACGTAAAACTCAACAACATAAAAATCTGTTGGTTTTATTCCTTATATTGGCAAAACTTTATATTATTGAGTGACTATTGTGACTTTTAAGAGACAAGTAGTCGAATAATTTTTAACAGCGCTTCCAGGGTCCAAACTTCAAAACTGCGTCTTCTGGTTACGCGACCAGGTCCTCTAGCCAATTAAGCTATGTGCTCGATAGACTTACAGCGTGAAACTTCCAACTTATATCTACTTTTTTTGCATTTATGTATTACAACTCAGATTTCATCTATTAAGACTAGCACGTAAGTAATTATATAATTATAGTACTGTATTTTAACAGATAGAGATTAAGCAGCATGTATTTATTTATGTCAGGAAGTGGCAAACGAGCTGGCGGTTCAGCTGAAAACCACCGCCCATTGAAATTTGCAACACCTGTAATTGCCAATTTATATATTATTTCTCACGCCAGCGTTCTGTCGAATTTTCTAAAACAATCCGGGACGCAAGTCAAAAATAGATTTTTTTATAAACAGCTTTTTTATAAATATATTACTAAACTATAGTTAATTGATCATAAAAGAAATTGTTACGAAAGTTAGCATGTGGATTGGTTAAAAAAGGTTATTTCAATAATTTTACAATCACCAATTTATCAAGGTTAGCGGTAGGTATGTCTATAATTTCCAATAAATTCAGAATTGTTTTGAAGAATAATTTAAGAAATAATTAAAAAAAAATAGGTAAATAAGTGCTTTATTTAATAGATTTCTTATATCTTTCTGTATAAATACGAGAAAATATGATTTAATATCTACCATGACTGTATTAAAGTAAGAATAACGTTAACTGAGTTAAATTGTACAAAATTGATAAAATTTCTTGAATGAAATTGAGTTGATTATATTAACCACTTTACAGAGCACACTTTTGCCCAGTAGTGGGTCATATACTGGTTCCTACATTATTCTCCTTTTTTAATATTATTTTTTAAATGAAGTTTGAACCAGGACAGATCACATATTGGTGAATTAAATTGTATTTTTTTTTGCAACATATTAAACAGGTACATCACACATATTACAAATGAATTCATTTTATTGCATTTTATGTTGTAATGTATAAAAAGCAATGCCACCTTACGTAAAAGCTACGCATACTTAACTAATGTGTAGTGCAAAGTTGGAATTGTTTCCAATTGAGTAATAGTCTAGGATGTGGAACTTTGTTCTAGATATTTGTAGCAATTAAATATTTTTTTAATTTCTTTAATAATCCAAATGAATAATGTGGAAATAATTATAAATAACTAGCTGCTGCCCGCGACTACGTCTGCGTAGAGGGGTGAAAATTTAGGGTTGTATGTATTTTTGTATGCTGTGTCATAAAAAAATAGAAACAAAAAGTTTTATATAAAAAATAAAAAAAAATTTAGGGTTGGACTACCCACTTAACATTTAGGGGGACGAAAAATAGATAGTAGCCGATTCTCAGACCTACTGAATACGAATATAAAATTTGGTAAAAATCGGCCGATCCGTTTCGGAGGAGTTCAAGTTCGAACCCCGTGACACGAGAATTTTATATATTAGAAGATTAAAGAATGTATCAGTTATTAATCAATAAATTAACAGTGAGACCTTTCCAGTACTTTTTACAGCAGTGACCCTCTTCGATAAAAATACCTATGTTGACAATGAAAGTGAAATGACCAGAGCGGTATAAAACCGGAGCGCTCTTTGCAAAATTATTCAGTTACCACCATTAAACAACATCAACATGTTCGTTAAGGTGTGTGGAGTGATTAATGAGCTTAAAAAAATATAAATTATGTAATTCTTTTCGTTGCATTGGTGTTCAATGTGGTTAATTTATAATTTATTCAAGCATTTAATTGTTCATTAAAATGTTAAAATATAATGGCGGTTTTGTCAAAACACATTATGGTTTTATGTAACTATAAAGAACTATAATTCTTTGCATTAAAGTAAATATATTTTTGCTTATCTATATTTCGTTTTCAGGTCATAGTCGCCCTTTGCGCTTTAAGCGCGGCCCGCGCTAGCGGTATCTTGGGCGTTGCCCCAAGCGGCGTACAGCAGCCACGCCATTGCTGCCCCCGCTCTTGTGACCAGGACCATCACACCCGCCGTTTCCTCTGTGTCTTCCTACTCCACCCAAACCGCCCACGCCGGTCCCATCGCCACCTATGCGGCCGCCCCGGCGTTCGCCTCTTACGCTGCTCCCGCCATCGCAGCTCCAGTCGTCGCTGCCGCTCCCGCCATCACCACAAGCTATGCCACAGCGCCCGCCGTCGTTAGCAGGACCATCACTCCCGCTGTCTCCTCCGTGTCGTCGTACTCCACTCACACCTCGCACGGATCTCCCATTGCGACATACGCCGCTGCTCCCGCCGTAGCCACCTACGCCGCTGCCCCCGCAGTAGCTTCCTACGCCACCCGTACCATCGCGGCACCCGCCGTGGCAGCATACGCTGCCCGTTCCTACGCCGCACCCGCGTTGGCCGCGTATGCCACCCGCTCTTACGCCGCACCCGCCATATCAACATACGCTGCCCCTGCAGTCGCGGCATACGCTACCCGCACCATCGCAGCTCCTGCTGCTACTTCCTACTCTTCCTACTCTACCCAGACTGCCCATAGCACTCCAGTCGTCGCTAGGGCTTACGCTGCACCTGCCGTGGCAGCTTACTCTACCCGCACTTACGCTGCACCTGCTGTGGCTACTTACGCCGCCCCAGCTGTAGCAGCATACGCAACCCGTGCCATTGCAGCACCTGCTGCCACTTCTTACTCTTCCTACTCTACCCAAACAGCTCACAGCACCCCAGTACTGGCTAGGACCTACGCCGCTCCCGCATACTCCACCTATGCCGCTGCCCCTGCCTACTCTACTTACGCCGCCGCCCCCGCCTATTCTACATATGCTGCGGCTGCCCCCATCCTCCGTTCTTCTATCGCTTACTCTGCCGCCCCCGCAGTCTCCCACATCTCCTACAGCGGTCACGGTGCTAACTATGGATGGTAAACTGAATCTGTTCCTGTAAATTGTATATAGAAATGTAGAAAATAGATAATGTGACAAAACTTTATTGTGTATTATTATTATTATTACCCCTTATCATATAATAAATATGGTTTTATCGAGATTCTAGCGAACACTAGAAAGTGCACAAAAATTAAAGTCAACTCCGGTTTTCCATTTCCTGTTATATTGAACGGTCTATGTTCAAAAGTTTTCTTTTGTCATCACTGTGCACGTGATAAATCCGTATCAGCACCGGGATTTCAACTCAGGTTCACGTGTGCCATGAATTTAAAGTAGTGCTCTCGGACAAGAGCACCTAAGTTTCAGTAGAATGGAAAATTTTGTTGTAATATATTTAGTGTACATCTTTATTGTGTTAGTCTTTTAAAATAAATGTAATGCTCAGCAAGTCGATATTGTTGAGCTATCCAAATGTTTAATTACAAATTGTATATTTCGGATGAACGAAATTCAAACAAAAACGTCAACCGAAATTTTTGTTCACTTCAATAAATTTCTCGAATTTTTTGATTGCTCTTTAAATCATATATGTCAATGCAAGGGCGTGTGTCTCTTCTGTTTGGCTGCGAAAACATTCACTTGTCTTATCCACAAGGAAGCGGTTACGAGTCGTTTTTTCGTGACGTTTTAGCCGTTATATTTTAAGCAATATGCATCACAACAACCATTTGCAATAATCATTATGATACATAAATGGAGTAAGCAAACGTGGTGAATTATGATGGCAATATCCGTAGTACAATTGTTTTAATTGCCTCAGTCATTTACATTACGAATTGAGCGATTATTTGACATGGGTAGCATCTGTCGAGTACCAAATCCGGTGTTCTCACTGAGCCCATCCATTCTAGTCCCTTTCAAATGGCTCCTTTGTCGATCGAAATGGCTTTCGATATTCAGATATGCCCAGCATCCTTATATTAGACCATCCTAATAAAGAATCTCCTTATTTCTAGGAAAAAAATCGTCATTCCATTTGCTTTATTTTAAACTAGCTGTTGCCCGTGACTATGTCTGCGTAGAATAGGCTGAAGGCGTAACATTCAGACAGAAAGAAAGGTATACATAAAATATGTATATAAAGTATATACTATGTCTTATTTTGATGTATAAGCTATATTATTGTAAAGTTTCAATAAAATCCATTCAGTAGTATTTGCGTGAAAGAGTAACGAACATCCATCCATACATAAAAACTTTCGCCTTTATAATATCAGTAAGGATGAGGTTTTTACCGCACTTATATATCTTGGTGAAGGCTATCTACAATCAAAATATATTGAAATCGCTTATGTCAGTGCTAATGAAGGAATTTTTTTCAATTTCTTTTTGGGGAATGTTGCAAAGGAGCATGAGATTTACCTCACTGTAACTGAATACCACCATCCATTTTACATTAGAAGCTGCCATAGTTAAACTATTATGTCAATTTTAACAAAGTAATTGAGACCAATACAAATTAAGAGAAAATTTAAAAACATGTCATAAATTCGTTAAATATCGATTAAACAATACAGGACCTAAAATTTAGACATTCCAATTTTTGAATTATATCGTGTGTAGATTAAGAAAAATATTGAAAGTTGTCCATTTCTAAAATTCCTGCCACGGGCGTGGCACGCGGCGCGGACTGAGTCTATTTGTCAGATTTGTTATTCATGTCCATACATATATGAAACGTCTGAGAAGGTTGTGTTCTCAATTCATTTAGAGACACTAAGTACTTATTATAAACAGGATGACGAAATGACGAAAACGCGTTTTACTTTTACTTTATTCGAGCTATGTGTGGATCACACAAAAACTTATTTCACGCTTTCTTTTGTATATTATTGGTTCGTATTACGTTTTCGAAACTCTTGTAGAAAATTAAAAGATCTTGTTTCACTTATATCCAAAAAATGCAATTACATTTTCTAGAGTATATTTAACTAACTTGGGATTTAGATGACAATAATAAAAATGAATGGTATTTGGTGTATTTTTTATAAAGAATAAAAGTATTTTTATAGAACATTGAATACATAAATTGATGCATTTAGTAATAAAATATTCTTTAAAATCGTAAAACGGTCGTAATAGTTAGTCGCAAAAATCAGTTTTTGAAGCTATACTTCCTTAGGCGCGTTATGTGAAATTTTAAGATGTAACAAAAAAGTCTTTGAAGGTGCCCGTAAATTTTTATAAATGGCAGCCTAAACTCAATCACATTCGCCCGTTACGGTTCTCAATAAAGAATGTAGATGGCGCTTTCATAATTTCATTATTTTTTTTATTTATATCCTTTTCCAGTCTTTTTATTGTAATTAATTATTTGAATGCAATTAAAAACTATTTTAATGATGCCAAAATAGGTGCGTGTACTTATAAATTCTCACGCGCGTACATAATTTGCAGTGTCTTTCCGTCCCATTACAACGTAGGCGTCTTCAAGGCAAGAGTGAATAGGTTTTTACTGAACTAGCGCTCTTACCATCAAAGGCTGCATTGCCACTTACCATCAGGTGGGATGGCAGTCAGGTGCTGGCCAGATGCAAATAAAAAAAAGTAAAAAAAAAATAAGTACACGCACCCATTTTTTTTTATTCACACTAGATTTGTTGAAATTAGGATTGTAGCCAACTAAAGGACCATTTGACTTTTATTTCTAGAATCTAGGAGTAGATTGTCGCAATTAAATAGAATCAAATACTAATTGCCGTCTCTGAGAGCGTCTTTAATTCCTTGTGACATAAAATTTAATTATATGTAACGTTAAATTACACATCAAAACCAAAAACCATATACTATGATTAGATTATTCGATTTTCATTACGCAAATGGTGTAATAGGGCAAATTATGCAAGGCACTTTTATTAATAAATTCATGATTGTATGCAATGAAAAAATGCATTTAAAGTAGAATTTTTTACGCCATTCATGAAGCAAACATTTTTAAATCTGTTCACTGGCTTAAGCTTGGCAACCGGTGCCCTTTAAATACAGTACGAGTTTATTTATTGGTCAAACCGAGAATGATGCAATTTCATATCAGGATTAAATTATTTGAAATAGCAACGGCCACATAATCCGCCACATAGGCCGCAACCGTTATGCACACAATAATTGTTCATTTTATGTTGAAGTTTACCTATGGGAATCTCATAGTTTGTATACAGATATATACAGAGCCCCGTGGGCTTAAGTTCGTATCCTGGAGGTAAATGTTCTGAATGCTACGTAATAACTGACCCATTTTTTATGTCAAGAATTATTTACGATATACCAAGTTCTATTTCTCGCTGAAAGATTGTACTGAACTTTGAGCTATAAAAGAATCGGCTCTCTTGTGACCAGCCATAACAATAAGAAAGTAAAATAACAGCCTATATATGTCCTACTGCTGTTCAAAGGCCTCCTCTGTACAGAGGATATTAGGGCATGTGGCGTTGTACCACAACGGTCTGGCGGACTCACATACCTTCTAAATGGTTGTTTGTTACTATTTTGAAAATATGCTCCGCTCATCACGCGATATGCCACTATTTAAAATTAACGATACACTAAAAATACAGTAAAAACTAATAATAAGACGAGAATACAATTGTTTTTAGATAATCTCTTCATTGACTCCACCTAAAGTCGGTATATAAAGCTATGATAGAATACATGAGAAATGCAATCAAAATCTGTGTCGATGACTTCGTATGTTAGGACCGTCCATAGTATAGATTATTATTAAATATTATTAATATTAATACAATACAATATCAGCCAATTACTGTCCACTGCTGAACGTAAACCTCCCCCAAAGTTCGCCGACTTAAATAAAAATGCGTTATTTAATTATAAACCCTTTTTTGGAATTATTGTTATTGTGTTAACAAAAATTACAAATTATTAAAAACTGTTAAAATACAAAAATTCGTACTTAACAGTTTTTAATAAATTAATTTTTAATGGGTTGCTAGAAAGCATGTAGTTTTGTAACAATCAATCCAACTCTATTGCGATTTAGATATGTTTACTGTGAGATATAAACGTTTAATAGACCAATCCTTTTGTGTAATAGATGTAGCACACATCTTGAATAAAAGTTGTTCTTAAAATTAGACTAACTTGTTGTCGTGTTGCGTTCAGTTTGGGACAGCTTATTTAAGTGAACGTGTATTACAAATATTGCAATAAGAATGACGCAATAGTACTCGAAACTTAAACATTTTAAAAGAATGTCAATTAATTACATGAAAGACTATGTAAAATAAATATAATTTTATGTGATGTGAATATGAATGATAGTTTTGCAGAAAATGTTAACAAAGTTACCGATGTGGTTAAAATCTAATAATTTGAAGCAGCAATTTACTTTTGTGGCCTTTATTACTAAAACATGTATGCTGTGCCTCCTGTTGCATTAATTTATGTTGTAATGTATGAAATAGTACGACGACATTTACGCAATCCAAGTATAGTAGTGGCCAATAGCTCCTTAACATTTATTAAATCTGGCAAATAAACTGGGTGGTGTCACCATGACATTGTTACAGTTGGAAATACAGGAGCAACTAATATGAGCGAATACGATCGGCGAAAATAACCCTTCTATTCGCGCGTTAAAAACTATTTTGCAATCACTTATCTCGGCACGGTGCATTGCACAAAGTCACTCCGAGGATCCGATACCAGTTTGTCGGAGTTGTATAAAAGTGAATGCGAGTGCCCTAGTAGTCACTCTGTTATCAAAATACGCAGCCTAAACATGTATACCAAGGTGCGGGATTCGTTTTTGAGTGCATCGTATTAAGTGTGATACTATCTTCGTGGCGAGATCTAATTCTTTCAATTTTGCAGGTGGCAATACTCCTGTGCGTCGCAGGCATCGCGACCGCTGGGAACCTCTTGCAGGCGGCCCCAGTGTCGGTGGCGTCCTACGCTGCGCCGGCGCTGTCGTACTCCGCCCCGTCCGTCGCCTACCAGACTATCTCCCATGCCGCACCGGCCGTCGCCTCTTACGCACCAGCCGTCGCGTCATACGCTGCGCCCGCCGTGGCCGCTTATTCCGCACCATCAGTCTCTTACCAAACAGTTGCGGCGCCCGCCGCACAGCTGACTTACGCCGCTGCCGCCCCAGTGGTCGCTAAAGCGTACTCTGCCCCCGCGTACTCGACGTACTCCGGCGGCTCAGCGGTCTCCTACCAGAGCGTCACCAGACAATCCTCACCCGTCGCGTACGCTGCCGCCCCTGTAGTCTCGAGGACCTACGCCGCGGCCGCCCCTGTTGTTGCGCAGACCTACGCTGCCGCTGCCCCAGTCGTTGCGCAGACCTACGCCGCCGCTGCCCCAGTTGTTGCGCGCACTTACACCGCGCCTGCGATTTCTACCTACGCGGCGCCCGCAATCTCCACTTACCAGGCTGCCCCTGTGGCTTCTTATGCCGCTGCACCAGTGATTGCTAAGTCGGTCGCCCCGGCAGTGTCCTACTCGTCGGTATCCTCTCAATCTGCTCCCGTGGCGATTGCTAGGACTGTAGCCGCCCCTGCTATAGCTTCCTATGCCACACCCGTGCTGTCGAGAGCTTATGCCCCATCAGTTTCCTACGCATCATATGCCTCACCAGTGGCTTACGCCAGCCCTGTCACCACCTACTCGAGCGCACCCTTAGTTTCAAGAACGATCAGCGCCCCCGTCACAACATATGCTGCCTCCCCATCGTACACGTACTCAGCCTTACCTGCACTGAGGACTTCCGTTGCTTACTCGGCTGCACCCATTGCCGCTCACGGATGGTAAGGAACCAAAGCGCCCGTTACATTACGTTTATATGAAAAATTGTTTTTGTTATTATAAATTATATAATTAAGGAAGAAATTAAAATGAATTGATTTATCAAATATAATATGTTGTGTTTCATTCTATTTATAGAAACTAAAGGGTTTATTTTTTTTAGTTCATAACAAATATTGAAGTTGAAAATTGGATTTAGGAAATAGTTAAAGATAAAAATATTGTATGATATATTAAGTCCAACTCTTAAAATTGAAATGAAACGGAGAACTTTAGTGTTTTGTTCCTGATTAGATATTGTTTCTTAAAGCACCATCTATCTATCCATTTTTATAGATTTTACAATAATTTCAAATATTTGTACTATTATTTTCTTCAGAAAAATGTGTTAATTGGAGCTTTTACAAAGAAATTAATTACATACATACGAATTTAGTACGTAAAGGTTTTGTTGGAATACTAGCGTACGCGTTGTAACGTGTATCTTTATAAAATTTTAAGAAAAAAAATGCTAAAAATTCCTATCAAATAATATAATTTTCAAAAAAAAATACTTAAGCTTAATACTTTAGAAGCTTATATTACTTTTTGAAATCTATATAACTTAATAGCCGCGAACGTAATAAACGTGGGCGATCTTTGCTACATCTAGTAATGTTATATTGCCTTGTACATTTTACTAAATATAAACGTAGTAATATGTTAGGTGTTACTAAATATAAACGTAGTAATATATTAGATGCTTACCATTTTTTTTAGAAATGGACTGTATGAAATGTGTATGAAATCAACCGTGATGAATTGTGAATTATATGACGCACAAAATTGCTGGCAAAAAATCGTGACTCATTAATTGCACTTGGCCACCTCTTCACGAAAAAGCTGTAGGCTGCAAATGTCACTATTTCTAAGGAATTACGTAAGTATAGATCGCCCAACTTACCAAACTTGAATCCAACTTATCATCATCTTTTTAACCCCATGATTCTATAGGATTAAGACATCCATGGAGTTCCAGTAAAATAAATGTAAGTAAGGTTCTAAAAGTAGTTTAAATTAATATCAATTAAAATATTTGTTTTAGGTCGCTACAATATACGCGTGAACATCGGAACTGATAACCAGAAAACGATTATTGGATTTCATCCCGAAATATTTCTTCTCGATTTCAAAATACCTTCCTTAGTAAATACATTCAGCATAAGAGGTATATATTATCAAATAGCAAATTGCAGAAGCATCTTGAATTAGATGATTTCTTCATTAGTGAATGATGGTTCTATGAAATGGATAAAAGCTACGCGCTCCTAGTATTTCACTCAGTTCCTTTTATGTACCTAGGATTGCTGATTTAATTTTAGTGACAAAATTCCTCTTTGCGATTTATATCTGAGGAATTAGATGTTTCTTGAACTTCATGCTTAATATTTCCGTACCCTAACTATGTTTGAATACAGAGACTCTTCTTCGATATACGTACTACGTATGCAATGAGTGTCACTTGGACATTGACCTCTACTCTGAATAGAAAATAGCTTACACCAATATGAATGCATTTTCTCCGTCGACTGAGGTTCTCATTTATCATCGATCCATTGTATGAGAGTGACCTAAATTTTATTTCGTGGTCATCTAAAAAAGGACGTATTGCGAAAAAGCTTCAATGAATTTCTTTTATATTTGCTTGATATACAAACTGTAAAATATGGAACCACAATACCCCGAATGACAGACGAATTTGTGTGCCGTACGATGGTCAGCTATTATTATGTTTATTGAAGCTTTTTTTCAAATCGCATCTAAATCATCATCGTAGTTATCATATATATATATATATATATATGTATATATATACTTATTACAGCACCTAATTATAATAATCAATATTATTTATTTATTATTATAATAATCATTACATACAATAAAACAATGTACCCCCCTGTTCATCAAATGAATGAATGAAAAATCTTCATAATAAATCTTTATTGCACAAATTATGGTAAAAATTGACAATAACCACAAAGTCGTGCGAAGTCAGGGTGGGTGGCTAGTATTAATTATAATTATTATTAAGAATTTTACCTGTTATTGTAAAAATGATTACGTGTATGTTAAGGTTACTTGCAATAATAAATAAAATGTCACAAGAAATGAAGTTTGCTCTAGATTTTAGCAGCGGCCGAATCAGAAGTTTTTAATACTACAAATCTTAACTGCCCATTAAAGTGGTATAGTAGTTTTGAAAACAATTTCGTGGTACTAACCCGTCCGGGTAAGTACCACGAAACTGAAGAGACCAGAAATACCCCACAGAAGACCGGCGTAAAGTAGAAGTGTTACGCTTCTGCGTTTCGTCTGGTGAGTGAGGTAGCAGGGGCCCACCTTATTAAAAGGTGGCAACACATCTACAACCGGTGTTGCAAATGTCCGTGGGCGGCGGTTATCACCTTAACATCAGGTGAACCGCCAGCTCGTTTGCCACTTTTTTACATAAAAAAAATTGACTCGGTGGCGCCATTGCCAAGCTATTGTCTTCGGCGTCGAGGGTCGTGGGTTCGATTTGCAAATAGGACAAGTGTTTGGGTGACTCACAAATAATTGTTCCGGATCTGGGTGTTTGTTTCCTAAGGAAGGTTGACGTCAGGCAGGCAGCTGATCGTAAAAATGTAGCCAAAACAGCTTATTTTAAATTAAATTTCACATTCAACTGATAAATTATTTAATGCAAAGTAAATAAAATAGAATATGAAAAATGTAAAACTTTTATTTCATTAGGTTGACTCTACTGTTTTTTATTAAAATTGCAATGGCAAATGTTATTATCACATCTATTAATTCATGAACGAGCTCCTAAAAAGTAACAGAATTATGGTAAAGCTCAAGTCTGACTTTGCTGGTAACGGTTATCATTTTACATACTCGTACAATACGTGGCAATTACAAAACTAAAACATTTATGTAAATACTAGCTGCTGCCCGCGACTACGTCTGCGTAGAGGGTTGAAAATTTAGGGTTGTATGTATTTTTGTATGCTGTGTCATAAAAAAATAGAAACAAAAAGTTTTATATAAAAAATAAAAAAAAATTTAGGGGTGGACTAACCCCAAAACATTTAGGGGGACGAAAAATAGATAGTAGCCGATTGTCAGACCTACTGAATACGCATATAAAATTTGGTAAAAATCGGTCGAGCCGTTTCGGAGGAGTTCAAGTTCGAACCCCGTGACACGAGAATTTTATATATTAGACTAGCTGCTGCCCGCGACTACGTCTGCGTAGAGGGGTGAAAATTGAGGATTGTATGTATTTTTGTATGTTGTATCATAAAAAAATAGAAATTAAAAATTTTGTCTAAAAAATAAAAATAAAATTTAGGGGTCGACTACCCCTAACATTTAGGGGGATAAAAAAAAAGATGTTGGCCGATTCTCATAGATACCGGATAAGCACAAAAAATTTCTTCAAAATCGGTCAAGCCGTTTCGGAGGAGTATGGCAAGGAAAACTGTGACACGAGAATTTTATATATTAGATATAAGGTCAATTCGAGAATTTCTTTAGAGATCAAGTAGATTTGCGTGTTGACTTAATAGCCAAAGTTTTTAAAATAATGTACAACTCATTTACCGTATTTAAGTATTTACGATATGTACCACAATCTTAACGAACCATAATTTAAGTTTCGTATTTATTTATTTTTAGCAATATTCATTTCTGTTTTAATTTGTATTGTTATCATGATATTTAATTGAACTTGCAAGACGTATAAGACTACTGTATTTATTTTTTTTATTTAAAATAATAATAAATGCAGCAGTCTTATACTTCATCAAATAAGCTTTTTCAATGCATTCTTAGTAAAATTTTTTTTCCTAAAATGCATGTTTTTATGTTTATAAAGTTTCTTTAGAATAAATCTTGTTAGGTAAGAATTGAAACTTGAATTTCACAAAGTTGCCCCGTTTCAATTTTTTTTCTGTTAGGCAAATGTAGTAAAGTTAGGTAACAAAGTAAAAACTTAAATAACTAAACAAATATTAAACGAATATTTAACTTTTGAACTCGGCTTGATCAAACAGCTCAAAATAGACCTTTTGCGGGCAGCAGAATAACAAACTGTGTGGGTCTAAGTGTTGGTGATTACAGGAAATCCTTCCACATGTACAAGCACTTTTTCTGTCAGTAATTAATTGCGGGTACAATGATAAGTACGGCAATTATCGTACATTATCTTAATGAGAATCGACGTTTTACTTTTGTGGATTTTCGCTATATTTGCTCGTAAGTTCTATTACAGTAGTTTTACTTGAGAATAGTAAAATTGTATTTTTTTATTTTTCAAGAACTGTCTAAAATAATAGAAAAAAATGAGTGAAAATAAGCATAGGGATAAGTGGGAACATAAATGTAATGTATAGACTTTTCTTTCAATTTAAACGCTACATAAAATGTAATAATTAGTTATTTATTTATTTATTGGTATATTAAACAGTTATACGTTAACAATTAATAAAACAGAATTTCTAATTATTTAACTAAACGTATAACCAACACTAATGTCCGCAAAATAATATTAAGTGACATAAAATAAAAATAGCAAGTCGGTTCCTAGCTTAATTTGCATATTACTTTTTAAGTATATGAAGAATGGTTACAGCATTCTTTTAAATTGGTTTTGTAAAAGTGAAAACAATACACAACTTATAAATTTAGATTTGAATACATCTCTCTACGATGCGGTGAAGCGCGGAAGGGCTCGTTGCCCAGCATTTGGTCTACTCTTTTCAGCGTAGAATAATCGGGGCACGTATACATAGCGTCTGATAACTCTTCATGGTACAATATAAGCAATCTTGTTAGTAAGCTCCATACAATCGAATATATTATTACATAATCCATGTAACAGCATGACCATAGTAAGAATGCGACTGGACTCCAAATTCAATAACTCATATTTTTCTAATAACTGCACATAAGAAAGCCTGGAATTAAAACATTTAATT